GTGGGTGGATGGATGCATAGGTGGATGGATGGATGTATAGGTGGGTGGATGGATCTATAGGTGGGTGGGTGGATCGATGCATAGGTTGGTGGATGGATGGATGGATGGATCTATAGGTGGGTGGATGGATGGATCTATAGGTGGGTGGATGGATGGATGCATAGTTGGATGGATGGATGGATGTATAGGTGGGTGGATAGATGGATGGATGGATCTATAGGTGGGTGGATGGATGGATGTATAGGTGGGTGGATGGATGGATGCATAGGTGGGTGGGTGGATGGATGCATAGGTGGATGGATGGATGGATGTATAGGTGGGTGGATGGATGGATGGATGGATGGATGGATAGATGGATGGATCTATAGGTGGGTGGATGGATCGATGCATAGGTGGGTGGATGGATGGATGGATGGATGGATGGATCTATAGGTGGGTGGATGGATGGATGCATAGGTGGGTGGATGGATGGATGCATAGGTGGATGGATGGATGGATCTATAGGTGGGTGGATGGATGGATGTATAGGTGGGTGGATGGATGGATGCTTAGGTGGGTGGGTGGATGGATGGATGGATGTATAGGTGGGTGGATGGATGGATGGATGGATGGATGGATCTATAGGTGGGTGGATGGATCGATGCATAGGTGGGTGGATGGATGGATGGATGGATGGATCTATAGGTGGGTGGATGGATGGATGCATAGGTGGGTGGATGGATGGGTGCATAAGTGGGTGGGTGAGTGGATGGATGGATGGATGGATTGATGAATGAATAGGTGGATGGGTGGATGGATGGATGCATAGGTGGATGGATGGATGGATGTATAGGTGGGTGGATAGATGGATGAATGATGTATAGGTGGGTGGATGGATGGATGCATAGGTGGGTGGGTGGATGGATGCATAAGTGGGTGGGTGAGTGGATGGATGGATTGATGAATGAATAGGTGGATGGGTGGATGGATGGATGGATGCATAGGTGGCTGGATGGATGGATGTATAGGTGGGTGGATGGATGGGTGCATAAGTGGGTGGGTGGATGGATGGATGCATAGGTGGGTGGGTGGGTGGATGCATAGGTGGATGGGTGGATGGATGGATGCATAGGTGGGTGGGTGGATGGATGGATGGATGGATGTATAGGTGGGTGGATGGATGGATGTATAGGTGGGTGGATGGATGGATGTATAGGTGGGTGGATGGATGGGTGCATAAGTGGGTGGATGGGTGGGTGGATGGATGCATAAGTGGGTGGATGGGTGGGTGGATGGATGCATAAGTGGGTGGATGGATGGATGGATGGATGGATGCATAAGTGGGTGGATGGATGGATGAATGGATGGATGGATGGATGGATGGATGGATGGATGGACGGACGGATGGATGGATGGACGGATGGACGGACGGATGGATGGATGGGTGCATAAGTGGGTGGGTGGGTGGATGGATGGATGGATGCATAAGTGGGTGGGTGGGTGGATGGATGGACGGACGGATGGATGGATGGACGGATGGATGGACGGACGGATGGATGGATGGGTGCATAAGTGGGTGGGTGGGTGGATGGATGGATGGATGGACGGACGGATGGACGGACGGACGGATGGACGGACGGACGGATGGATGGATGAATGGATGGATGGATGGATAACTTGTGCTCTACAGGACCAAACTCAGTCTGGCTCCAGCTCACATGTAGGATGAGTTATCGACCAATCAGAGAATGTTTATTATCTTTCAGGCAACGTCTAACAATAAAAAGTTTTAAATGACATGAAAAACAAATGAATTTCCTCTAATTACTCAGGCAAGTGTTTAGAGTGATCACTTTTAATGATGCATTACAGGCTGTGTGGTGGAGCAAGAAGGTTGCAGGTTCAAACCCCAGCTGCAGCTGTTCTGCACTGAATAACAGGTTCTGCACATGCACGCGTGGCTGAGTTGTCGGGCATCAAGTTTTAAATAGTGAAAAGGACACTGAGTGAATCATCAGGTGCACTGAGACTAACATCAGGTTAATCAACACTACAAGTTGTTTTTTTACCAACATGCTTCAGGTTTCCTTTCAAATATTATCCTGCTTCATTATGGTCTCTTGAAGTCCCGACAGCTGAGCGAAGAGAACTTCACCCCAACACAGAATCCTGTTGCTGTTGAAATTCAGTTGAGTTCATTTTTATAGCACCAAATCACAGGATTTGTCTCAGAGTACTTCACAAAGTAAACTTTCCTGCAGAATTTAGTTCATTATATCAGCCATCGCCAGTCATCGGGCTGCACGGTGGCGCAGTCTTCAGCACTGTTGCCTCGCAGCAAGACGGTTGCAGGTTGGAAACTCGACTGCGGCCTTTCTGAGTTGCATGTTCTCCCCAAGCATGCGTCGGTTTCCTCCGAGTACTCCTGTACTCCTCACTGATCACAACATGCCCTATAGGTTAACAATTATACGTCGCCTTGGATAAAACCGTCTGCCAAATAAATAAATAAACATAAAACGTTTCCGTTGTAAGGAACCCAGCATATTGCATCGAGTCACTGACTTGTTGTGCCAGAGACCTTGCAGCAATCCTCATAAATCACTATTTATGAAAAGCGTGAACATAGCACGATAGAACCTAGACTGTGAAACAACAACTGGCTCAGATCGACAAGGTCCGAGACCTGTTGGACCAGGTTCTGTTTGTCTTCGCTGGCTGCACCTGTGGTTTTATTTTTGCCAGCTTGAGGAGCACATTCCATCCTCACACGTCGTCTAACTGCTGTCAGCAACAACCAAGTCAGCCTAAATCTGCAGAAACAACTTGAGGATACACGCAGATCTGTTTGTGTCATTTCCTTTACGTAGAAATGAAAATAAAGAAGGACTGAACCCAAATCCGTCGGTACCTCTTCACACACCTTCGACTGGACTCTGCGTTTTATCTGGAACGGGAGGAGACCAAAGCGGACTTTGTGATGAGCTGATGCTTTTCATATGAACCAAAAACTGAACTGAACAATCCCAGCCTGCTCAGATCTACTCCTACTGAAGAAAGAAAACCAAACAGCTACAGTGGAAACCTAAAGCCATCAGAGGAGAAAAGGTTTATGGAGGACGCCAACAAGATCCTTCACCCTGCTTGTTTGTGCTGGACTGGTTCATGAGTGTGTCCACACCGCCTGCATCTTGGGTTGTCTCTGGTGCACGTTGCTCTTGTTCCGCCATGATCAGCACCGCTGTATCCTTCAGTCCACCACCCCTCTCTACCACTTCCTCAGCCTTCCTTCGTAGGTGTTGTGCACGGCCTAGTCTATTCCCTCCATGACGGTTCCACCCGCTCCTAACCCGGGGAGCCTCCTAACCCTAGAGGCTTTCTCCAGGATCTTATTTCATCCTGGACTGTGGCTCTGACGTACACTATCTTTGATCTCCCTCTCCTTCCTCTCGTGTCCAGTCTCAGGGTGCTGTCCTTGTTTTTCGTCCTGACATCAGAAGCTTCTCTCTCTTCCTTTGGCCAGGCTTTCATACCAGCGGGTGTCTGACTGGCAGGCCCAAAGTGTTGATGGACTTTCTTTTCACCAACCTGCTGGTTCTTCAGAACCAGTCGGGAGGTTCTTGGTTTGGACTGACTTCTTTGTGGCCTCATCACCCCCTATTCTTGTAATTATCTAGAACACCCATCCTTGGATCTGCGATCCTCCAAGGGGGGTTCCTGCAATTGTGTCTGTGTGCATGTTGTGAGATTACCAAGGTTGTATTTGTGAAGATTACCTCTACAACGTCCAAATGACTCACAAAAAGGTAAAGTCAGGACTGTTTGGGTTAGGGTTAGGGGTATGGCTCATCTTGGCAACCACTTGTCTAAAACATCCCTAATGTTGTCTTCAGGTATTTAAATTGTTTCTGCTGGCGCCGCCTGGCCTCGTCTGGACACCAGTCCCGATGTCTGCTGAGTTTCCCCGTGAGGTGGGTCAGTGAGTGGACGTCTCACTCGTCTTGGCCTACATCTTGATGTCAACACTGCAGAAGAGATGTCTGATGGCTGCTCTACTCTGGTATATGTAGCCAGTCACCATGGTGATCAGGCTGATGGGCGCCAGGTCTCATCAGTGCTCTGTTGAGGTCCAGGATCCATGAGCTGAGTCGGAGCCTTTTGTGAAGTCGGTCCAGGCGGCGCACAGGTCGGCGTGTCTGGTCTTACATTCAACTGACAGTTGTTGCTCGACGTTTCTCCCAATTCCAGCACATGCCGGCCCACGTGTCGTTTCTACGATGGCTGTCACACAGACGCGCGGCGGGCAAACCCCAGCCTCAGCTGCATTTGTGTTGTCAGCCCTGTTGTTACCATTGCAAGGTGTTTTGTTTGATGGTCCAGTTGCCTGGTTCATGCAGTTACACTTTGCCACTCGGCTGATCAATAGCCCAACTCGTCTTTCTTGTCGAACCAGATTCGTGTCTCCGCCTGTGAGCGTGACTGAACAGACAACGCTTTCAGTCCGGTCCCTGTTCACGTTGATTCATCAAAGCTCAGCAGAGACCTTGAATCTGTTTGTCAACCCACACGCGCTATCAGAACGCCGCCTTTCAGTAGCACTGCCCATGGACTCTGGTCAAGGCCATCTCTCTCACACACAGGATGCATAGAATTCTGTTTCGTAGAGATCACGGTAAGATAACAATCCAGATAACTCATTCAGAATGATTTCAGACCAAATCTGACGTGTGAATTTGTCCGTGACGTCCCCAAAACATTAATGTTTACTAAAAATCCCTCCTGCCTGTTGAGAATAGCGTTTTCCTATTTGTAGAACTCTGATGAGGCAAACTGACGAGCTTTTGTCGTTTATTCTTGTGTTCTATTAAGCTTTTTGGCAGGAGCTTTACGTTTACATAACAAACGATGACATACGCTGGAGTTACTTTTTAATGAACCTGTGTGAGGCTGCCGTGTTGGTGATGTCAGCATTGTTGAGAAATCTCAGCTCCACCCAGTAAGACGTATAAAAACTTCTAACGCAGACACTGTGCACTGACACACACACACACACACACACACACACACTCTGCTCTTGCAGGCAGAAGCACTCTGCAGGCATTATTTCTGCACTGGAGCAAAATCTTGATGTAGCTTTCCTCTGAGTGAGAGTTTTGGCTTTGCTAAAATAGTTTTAATCGCTAAAGGAGTTGACGGCGTGTTTGTGTGGAAGTTTGCTAATTGGTGACAAGTTGCTTTCAGTTTTGGACCTGACACACGTTGTCATCTTCAACCAGTCACAGCACCATGATGATAAGCATCGCTTTGATCTGGGGAGTGGTGGTGGGATTCTGCTGCCTTCTGTGGCTTGCCCTGGGGATAAGACGGAGGTAAGACTCGCAGCCGGATAAATTACCGGGCACTCACACGTGTTCATTTGATGCTTTATCTGTCTGAAATCTGACATTAAGCCCAGGTTATTGTTTATTACAGAATTTTTAACAAATCTGATTGAAAAAGTTACAATTTAACAACAAAACCTGACATTTTAACTCCTGAAACGTGAACTATGTTGTGCTTTTAAGGTTTTCAGAGAATAGACGAAAATAGAGATGAGTGATTTTTAACAAATGTAGAGACAACAGCAAGATCTTTACCTTACTTGTTAAAACGTGTTTAAGAGGTTTACGGTCTGTGGTGGTCCTGGTCATCCGGGGCTACCAACCAGCGAGTTCCATGAGTTTCTCTGCTTCAGCACACCTGGTTTGAATCAATAGGAGATTTAATGGTTCCTGCAGAGCTTGGTGACCTGCTGAGCAGGTCAGGTGCGCTGGAGCATAAAACATTACGAATTATGATCGCCCTAAATGACCGGGGGTCGGAGACGCCTGACTAAGACAAGATCTTTGGAGAAATCCCTCATTTAATACATGATGTCTGTTTGTAGCTTCTACTGATGTCAGAGTGTAAAAGAAAAATGATGACCACTGTGTTGTTAGGGCTCAGCTGCTGTGATGCATTCACTGACCACATGCATTCAGAACAAAGACTGTACGATGGTGGCCTTGTTGGTGTGTCACAGCTAGACTCAACAAGCCGCTCATGCAAAGCTGATCTAATCAGCTGCTCTGGGACAATAAACGTGGAGCTGCTGGGTTACTTTTGTTCATCTCTGAGAACATCTAAGCATTGTCACGAGTACAGGACAGAGAGGTAGCCAACGTGTGTCTTTCAGGTGGATTATTGCTCATTTATTCTGTTACTAAATCTATTCCAACATCAAATCATGGATTTCCTGAACATGCTCCTACGTTGCTGTGTTAAACAAACGACTTTTAAAGGACCAGCCTGTTTGTGAACTGTTGAATCAGTGGTTAACTGGACATGGTGACAATCAGAAAAAACACTAAAAAACCAAAAGAAAAAGAAACCAGTGCAGTAGTCACGAGTGGAGAGCACAGCGAATGATTTCTGAGTGTGCATCAGAGGAAATAAGTGAACGTGACGACCCTTGTTATGATCCGCAGGCAGCCCGGTGAGCCTGCTGTTGAAAACGGTTACATCCCCTACCTGGGATGTGCTCTGCAGTTTGGAGCCAACCCTCTGCAGTTCCTCCTCAGCCGCCAGAAGAAACACGGCCACATTTTCACCTGCAAGATTGCCGGCCAGTTCATCCACTTCCTGTGTGATCCCTTCTCCTACCATTCTGTCATCAGACAGGGGAGACATCTGGACTGGAAGAAGTTCCACTTTGCTACATCTGTTAAGGTGAAAACACTTCTGGTCCTGAGTTGTTCTGTCTTGTGTAGAAAGGTCCTTTAACTGGCCTAAACGCTGTCTGCCTTATAATTCCAGGCTTTTGGCCATGACAGCTTTGACCCTCGTCATGGCTACACAACAGAAAACCTCCATCAAACCTTCCTGAAGACCCTGCAGGGTGAAGCTCTGCCCTCCCTGATAGAAGCAATGATGGGTCACCTGCAGGATGTCATGCTCAAGTCAGACGCCCTTAGCCCCAGCAAAGATCACTGGCAGGTGGATGGCATCTTTGCTTTCTGCTACAAGGTTCGTGTGTGCAGCCCAGATTTAGAACATTGAAGCTGTTTTTTTTCCTTAAATTTGAAAATTGGCTTTTACCAAAGTAGCTGGACAAACAGCAGTAAAAGGTTTATCTCTGCAGGTCGGTCTCGCCACACTCCATTACAGCCTCTGCAGGTCTCCCATTGGTCCGAACAGTTTCAGGTCCAAACAATCACGGCCTCTATGTTAGTAGAGAGACGCTGGGTGGGCTTAGCAGCAGAGCTGTGATTTTTTTTTTTCACCAGAGCTGTGATTTTAAAAAAAGCTACGAAGATGGCGTCGGCTCAGGAATTGCACTCATTTGAAATGGATTTGACATCAAATTTGGACTATTTAGACTTTTCTTTGAGACAAGAGCAGATAGAGGTACTTAAGTCTTTATTTAGAAAGAAAGATTTTGGGTTTTGCTTCTTCATCTTCTTTGAAAAGAAAGAAAGAAAGAAAGAAAGAAAGAAAGAAATGGAAAATGGCCTGTTATTAATATAGCGACTTCTAGAGTCCTGGAACCCCCCAAGGCGCTTTACAACACAATCAGTCATTCACTCGTTCACACACACATTCACACACTGGTGGGGATGAGCTACAATGTAGCCACAGCTGCCCTGGGGCGCACTGACAGAGGCGAGGCTGCCGAGCACTGGCGCCACCGGTCCCTCCGACCACCACCACAGGCAACGTGGGTTAAGTGCCTTGCCCAAGGACACAACGACAGCGACAGACTGAGCGAGGCTCAAACCTGCAACCTTCCGATTACGGGGCGAGCACTTAACTCCTGTGCCACCGTCGCCCCAAAGAAAGAAAGAAAGAAAGAAAGAAAGAAAGAAAGAAAGAAAGAAAGAAAGAAAGAAAGAAAGAAAGAAAATGATCTTTTATATAGCACCTTTCAAGATGAAAATCATGAGGCACTTCACCAGAACAAAAAATTCAAAATACAAAAATTATCTTCCAAAAATTATTTTTAAAATGGTTAAAATTAGAAGAAAAAATAAATAAATAAAGAATTGTGATAAAAAAATACAACGACAGGGAAAGAGAAAATGTATATTTAAGAGGGAAATAAGTGGATCCTGGGAAAGGCAGATTTAGTAGAAAGGGCAGAACAAGGAGAGGGTGATGAAGGTCACACCAAAGCCTGAGCAGGTGAGTTTTCAGCTGCTTTTTAAAGGAGATCACTGAGTCCATTGATCTCAGGCTCAGGAGCAGCAGACGGCTCCAGCAGAAGGTGTCTCAAGAGCCTCTCCGTGAGCATGTTCTGGACTGAAAAGACATTTAAGTTAAATGTATGGAGTTCCATCTGTGCCAAACACTTTGACGGTGTATCGGGCCTGTCCCGTTGACTGATTTAGCTATGAATACGTCACATTGTTCATAGCTTTGGTTGGTCCAAACACTGCCCGACGACACAGACAGTTTGAAAGAAAACCGTAGATTCAGCCCCACGACTGAGCTCTGTCTACGGGTCGAGGCCAGACTGCACATTTACATATATAGGATGGCTGTCCAGCAGTATTCCTGGAAATAATCCATATTGCTCCCCACTTTCCAAACCAGAGTTTCAAACCAAGATTGTTTGAAATTTAAAATTTGTGGAGTTTTAGGTTTTTTGTCAAATTAACATCTGATGGGTTCAGTTGGAGCTCAGTGCTGTTTTTGCGTTTGCTGAGGTTGACTCAGATTAGCTATAACGACCACACACACACACACACACACACACACACACACACACACACACACACACACACACACACACACACATCTGATCTGATCTCCACTCTCACTCTGGTCTCCAGGTCATGTTCGAGTCTGGATACCTGACTCTGTTCGGTAAAGAGCTTGGAGATGACAAGTCCCAGGCCCACCAGGCTGCGCAGAAAGCTTTGGTCCTCAACACTTTGGAGAACTTCAAGGAATTTGACAAGATTTTCCCAGCACTCGTGGCTGGCCTGCCCATCCATGTGTTTCACAGTGCCTACAGTGCCAGAGAGGTTGGTGGCTTTTCTGTTGAAAATCAGAGAAGGGATGTTTATACTGGTTTTGGGCGGCAGTTAGTTTTCTCTGACTAACCAGTTAAGCGGTACCTCTAGCCAGCTCAGGAATGGGAATAGAGGTGTCTCCATGCGCTGCGTCGCTTCGTTAACTTTTAGTGTTTGTGTTTAGAATTTAGCAAGGACAATGCACGTCGAAAACCTGTCGAAGAGGCACAACATGTCTGACCTGATCTCCATGAGGATGATCCTGAATGATTCCTTGTCCACCTTCAACGATGTGAGCAAATCCCGAACCCACGTGGCTCTGCTCTGGGCTTCACAGGCCAACACGCTGCCCGCCACCTTTTGGAGCCTCTTTTACATGATCAGGTATAGTTGGAATGTTTATTCTTCACTGTGTCGCCTTTAAAGGACCATTCTTGTGTAAAGATTATAAATAATGGCCGTCTTACCCAGTGTCAGTAGCTCTCTGAATGGCCTTGAGAGAAATAGACTGACGAGCTGGCAGCTAGTCTGAGTGCAACAAAGAGATTTCTTCTGATTGGAAATAAAATAAAAAGTAAACAAAGCAGCACAACTAAGAATCTGTTGTATGTGCGCTCAGGAGTCCTGATGCCATGAAAGCAGCTCAGAAGGAGGTACAGAAGGTTTTGAGGGAGGCAGGTCAGACAGTCGACCCCAGCGACCCTGCCCTAAATCTGACCAGAGACCAGTTAGACAACATGCCTGTGATGGGTAAGAGCACCGACGTTCATGTAAACAGAAATGTATAAACGCATCGTAACCACGATCTCTTTCATCCATCTCCTGTTAATAGACAGCATCATAAAGGAGGCCATGCGTCTTTCCAGCGCTTCCATGAACGTTCGAGTTGCTAAGGAGGACTTCCTGCTTCACCTGGACAACCAGGAAGCTTATCACATCAGAAAAGATGATGTCATAGCCTTGTACCCCCCCCTGCTCCACTACGATCCAGACATCTATGAGGATCCATACGTAAGATCCATGTCATTTTAAAAAGTCATCTTTGTAAGACAGCGCTTGTAGAGTTTCTCTTCATGATTCTTCCTCTGCTCACCCTGCAGGAGTACAAGTTTGACCGTTTTCTGGACGAGAAAGGTCAGGAGAAAACCACGTTTCACTGCAACGGCCGCCGGCTGCGGTACTTCTACATGCCCTTTGGCTCCGGCGTCACAAAATGCCCCGGAAGATTTTTTGCTATATGTGAGATTAAGCAGTTTTTGACTTTGATGCTGTCGTACTTTGACATGGAACTACTAGACCCTGCCATCAGAGTTCCTCCTCTCGACCAGTCTCGTGCTGGTCTGGGAATCTTGCAGCCTACCTATGACGTGGACTTCAGGTATAAACTGAAGGAGACCCATTAGGCTCAGCCGCAGTGGGCTGAATGACTGAATTACTGGTTGTAAATAGTGTAAATGTAGTTATTCTGTGTGTAAATAGAAGTATTTTTTCATATGTTAGACTGTGATGCTAAAGAACATGCTCTGTAGATAGAAGACGGACACGTACACCGCTCAGAACAGCAGCCTGTTTCATAAAAAATAATCACTTTTCTACAGAACAACATCAGAAACGGCTAAACATGTTTCATCAACAGAACATAGACTCTGGATCACAACACCAACACCAGCTATAAGAACTTAGCTGTTAGTCATGTTTATTTTTTATGCACAGATTCACATCATGAAGGAGAGAACAGAGTAAATGTGTGGGCATCACAACATGTATGTTTGCAACATAGCGACCGTCCATCTCTAGTCAGTAAACCTCACCAGATCACTGGAGTAACTGCATCCTTTTTTTAAATTAGGAATTTAATTTCATGGTTTTTCTTACAAAAAGCTCCTGACCACTCCCAGTAATCAGACACAATCACAGATAACTCCAGCAGAAGGTGTCTCGGAGGCTTTCAGTGAGCATGTTCTGGACTGAAAAGTCATTTAAGCTAAAGGTATGGAGTTCCATCTGTGCCAAAACGTTTTGTAAATAATTGTTTTCTGTTCATGTCCACCATATTTATGTCATTCATTCTGCTGTCTTTCACTGTGACTTGTTAATATAAACAAACAAAAATCTACATCTGTATTCTCCTTACTCCCGTTGTCACAACACTGTGCCCTTTGACCTCCTGATTCTCATGATGTAAAAAAAGTCCAGTCTCAGGTGATTCTGACCAAATACTCAAACATTTGTTTCTGGTTCTAACTGGAAATAAAGTATTTATTTATTTTACTTCCTTTACTTTCTACATATTATGCAAAACTCACCTTTTTGCATTCTACTGCCTTGTGGGTCTCGACTACCTCTCTACACCCTAAAATGGTGAATTAAAACTACCCATCAGTCATGCCAGTGTTTGGTTTCAGGAATTATCTGCCAAAAATGAGCAGTTTCAAAAAGACTTAGTTTGTGATGTCACAATTGGGGAAATTTGCATAACCACCCTTCACCCATCGACCGTGCAGGGGCGCCGGCTCTACTCCGAGCCCCTCACGGATATCTGAGCTCTTCACTTCATAGCAGCCAATGAGGGGATGTGTGGGTGTGGTCAGCAACAGCTTGTTTTCTTAAGGTGACAGAGCCCTCATCAACAACTCTCTTCCTCGGGGGCGGTGATCCAGCATGTTTTACTGTTTTCTCAGTTTCAACACGCCTGGTTTAAATCAAAGGGCGATCAACAGGCTTCTGCAGAGCTTTATGAGCTGCTGAACAGGTGAAGCAAGCATAGCCATGGGAACATATTCTCAGCAGGGGGTGCTCTGCTGCACTCAGCTCCTTATGTACAGGTGAATCATAGCCTATGTGTGCTATATGCATTGATGGGAGTCTCGTTATTAGAAATGAAGACAAAATCACGAAACACAACACAATGAGATGTCTGATCACTTATCAAAAAGGTTTAATTCATTGATCATTTAGAGCTGAACGAGGAACACCAGCCATATTGATTAAGCCTGCAAAAATCGTAACACACAAAAATAGAAAGAATTAACAAATTAATTAAATATGAAAATAATAACAAAAATAAAAATAATTATGTAGCAAAGTCCAGGTGAACTGTCCATGGTGCTGAAAACTGCTGTCCACGTAACTGTGGTGCTGAACAGCGTAAACGTGTGCTGCACGGCAGCAGCATTTGAAATGCGACTACTTACCATCTGCGTCACACAACTGTGGATGTGGCCTTCCTCTCCGGGTTGGCGCTGATGAAGCTCCTTATTAGGCTGCCAATGTCCAGACTGTCCAAAATCTCTTCATGGACTTGCATGAGAGCAAGGTATGTCAGCCTTGTTGTGTCATGGTTGTGTGTAACCATGTGTTCAGGCGGTGCAGAGTGGAACATTTCTGATGATGCAGCTGAAACAGGGAGGCATGAGCATTGATGAGGGTATTCAGCTTTTTTGAAAACAACCCTTGTTTGTGGATGGAGTTTAGACATTGTTGCAGTTACGTCCTGTACGGTGTTACCAGGAGAGTTGCTGAAGACATCTCCGATCATTTTCAGGTGCATCCCCAGGCGGTCCATGTGAAAGCGTAATGGAAGGTGTGGAATCCACATTCACAGGAAGTTCCTTTTGTGCTGCTTTAATGACCACTGTCTTTCTAAGAGCTGCTGTTTCCACGCCATCTTGGTCAAATCTCCTTATAGTTCCTCCATAGCCAAGTCCACTGCTTCATAAAACTCACATTGCCATGAGTGTTGTGCTGCTGCCTCTGGGTCTGTTGTGTTTCGATTGCACTTTCATGCACTTTCTCAGCAGTTCATTGCACGGAAGGGCGCCCAGTGTGCTGGCTTTGGTGTGTTGTAAACTCCTGGCCACTATTTCACACGGCTCAAAAAGACCTGCACAGCACAGCAGGCCTTCAGGCATACTATTAGATGACTTCATTCTGAATTAAGTCTGAGAGCCAGTTATCTCTCTTAAGAGTAAATTCTTTCTTTTGGAAGGTTATAGGTACATTCCAGCATGAGTTCACATACCATCACGGGTGCTGTCATCCCAAAAAGCCACTCCCTTCTTGCCCAGAAAGACCACTGACCTGAACATCAGTTCCAGAGCATGGCTCTATATAAAAGATCGTTTTCTTTCTTGTTTTCTCGAGGCTTCCTAAAAGTATAAAATCCACTTTTGCACCATCCTGATAAATAAAACTTTGAGGTCACCAGCAGAGGGTGCTGTTGCACCCCCACTTTATCTATGTCAAACATCGCCTTGCCTTGGATGAACGGTACACACTGCTCGGGCCAAGAAAAAGGAGCAGAAAGCGACAACTGCTGGAAGTAGGTGTTGAAAGAATGAACTCATAATAATAATAAAGGAAGTGAGTCATGCACGGTTGCAGAGTAAAAGGGGAACTGAAACCTCAAATGGAGGTGGTGTTACAAATCGGTGTATTTATGTGTGTTTAAGAACTCATGGTACAGCTCATGGACTAGTATCCTGTACAACAAACAGGGTTTTTTCGGAATGTGTTAAAGGCATCGACATACAAATATTGGACAATGGGTTTCCATGTGTAGCACCTATAGAGGGGACTAGTTTTAGTCAGGTACTAGACATCTACTAGGCTCTATCTACAAAGAGAATTAGGAAAACCATCCGAAAGTTGAACAACGGTGATTTATTGCTTCACCCAGCATATAAAAAAATAAAATAAAATAAAAAGAGAATGTGTGGTTACAATATTTTCAAAATCAAATACAATACCCAAAATAAGAGAGCTCTTTTTCCCCAAAAAAATAAAAATAAATATAGATGTTGATCTTTAGGATTCAGTTCTTGAGCAACGTTGCTACCCGGGTAGTGTTTGTGTCTTATCTGTAGATCTGTATGGATTTTTCCAGTTCGTGAAGGTTCCTCTGCGAAAGGATGTCTCGGCTGGCCACACCGTTTACACCTGTCCGCAGTCCATCTGGGCTCGGCTCGCCATCACGTCAAGAATGCAGAGTCACTATAAAACCAATCTACATAGAATGCAGAAAGTAAATCATTCTGTTCATTTTTCTATCCCTATGAGACCTCAGATCTAACTTAAAAGATCATCACTAGTAGTTATCCAACGGTTTAGGAAAACCTTATCAAAAAACTGAAATGCTTAGCTTTAACTTCAAACTGTAATTTGTGTACAGTTTTCCTGCTGTTTAGCAGCAACCTTATGTTAAACATAAATTAATTGAACATCTTATGACTTAATCATATTTATATGATATAACTGCAATATTCATCACTTTTAAAACAATTTTTTATCTTTTTAATCCTTGTAACCTGGTAGATTAAATTAATTGCTTATCAACTTTGTACAAACATTTATTTACTAAAACCAACAGTATAGCCTAACTTAACACGGCTCACAATCAACCGTTGCCGTTCTAACAAATGAATCAGTTGGTATGCAGAGAGCACGAGCCCTCTTGCTACAGTGCTAATTACTCCATTGTAAAAGACTGGAACTAGCGGTAGCCACTAGCGCTAGCATTAGCGTTAGCATTTCTTTTAAACAAATCTCTCACACGTTACGATGATGTGGAGTACATCAAAGCATTTAAAAGATTGGGACAGTGTCCATAAAACTCCCGATTGGTTTTATTTTAAATAAAAGTCAGTAATTTATGCCAAAATAACACATTAGCCGAAAGCTAAGGCAGGCCAACTAACTTTTCACTCACCGGGATCTCCACAAGCTAGCTCTCAACAAACGGTTACTCCCGTTGCTCACAGATGACTCACAAGGTTCCAGCCTGTTCACAGTATATTATAAATAAAATATCCAATAATATTGATTCATACATCACTATTTTCTGCTACTTACTCGCTCCGTTCAGTGCACAGCCACGCATATGCTTGGAGGCGAAAAGTGAGTATGTTGCACGTCTATAGCTCAGGTTTCAGAAGGTGTAACCTGCACCCTGGTGGGCATTTGTGGTATTACAGTTCAGACAACATAAACAGGTTTAGTAGCCCAATACTTCTCATGGGTTACACATAGAATCCAATAACACGTTTTTGAGGCCAAATGGGAGGTGACCACCACCGCCATTTTGACCGTGTCACAGGTTCCGTCAGGCCCAGACAATTCCACAAAAGGGAAGAGAGGAGGAGCTGAGGGTGGGGCTATAAGGCTGGGATCAACTGACGACACCCGGTCAAACTAGCTACAAGCTAACCTGAAGCTAACACAGAGGTGGGAACTAAGCTAATGGAGGTAGCAACCTAGCTACAACCAGAGTTAACTGTGCACAACACCAGAGCTTCTGAGTCAGAGATACGCCGGGCTGACCGCTGGGTAAAACCGGGTGAAACACAGAGGTCTCCCCAGAGCTCCACAAGCCCACAGCCGCACAGCAGACCAGCGCCGCTACGATCTGAGATGCCAGAGCTGCCGCTGGGGAGAACCGGGTGGAAATGTTCCAGTGTGCTAGACGATGGTCCCCTCCATGAGGCCACCACAGATCAGCAGAACATCATTATAGCTTCTTCTGGGGAGAAAAACACTTAGAGAAAAAATAAAGTTAATAGCTGAAGTAGCAGGAAATAATACTGTTAAAGAGCAGATTGTAGAAGAAAGTAGTAGAGTGTGAAAAGTGGTCAGTGTGTCCTCCAGCAGTCTAAGCCTATAGCAGCATAACTACAGAGATAACTCTGGATAACCGAGCCTTTTTAGATGGAGGCATGTTGGAGGCAGGGCAAGGAAGAGCCGGCTCCACCTCCCTCTACTCCCCCACTTGTCCAGATTTAGGCTAACATCAAATTTTAACCATAAGCCCTATCAAATAAAAATATTTTGAGCCTATTCTTAAAAGTAGACAAGGTGTCTGCCTCACGGACTAAGACTGGGAGCTGGTTTCACAGGAGAGGAGCCTGATAACTAAAAGATCTGCCTGCTATTCTAATTTTAGATATTCTGGGAAGCACCAGTAAACCTGCAGTCTGAGAGCGAAGTGCTCAGTTAGGAACGTATGGAACAATCAGATCACTGATGTTTGATGGAGCTTGATTATTAAGAGCTTTATATGTGAGAAGAAGGATCTTAAAATCTATTCTGAATTTAACAGGCAGCCAATGTAGGGAAGCTAAGACAGGAGAGATATGATCTATCTTTTTAATTCTCATCAGAACTCTAGCTGCAGCATTTTGGACAAGCTGAAGACTTTTAACTACATTCTGTGGACTTCCTGAGAGTAATGAATTACAGTAATCCAGTCTTGATGTAATAAATACATTAACTAGCTTTTCAGCATCACTCCTGGAAAGGATGCTTCTAATCTTAGCAATATTCCGAAGGTGGAAAAAGGAAATCCTACAAACATGATTAACCTGGGATTTGAATTACATGTCCTGGTCAAAAATAACACCAATGTTTCTTACTTTGTTCTCGGAGACTTTTTTAATGCCATTAAGGTCAGGCGATTGGCTAAGCAATTTCCTTTTCTGGATTTCTGGTCCAAAGATGAGAACTCCCGTCTTGTCTTGATTTAAAAGCAAAAAATTTAGAGTAATCCAATTTCTTATGTCCTCAAGACAAGCCTGTAATCTACCCAACTAATTAGGTTCATCAGGGTTAATGGATAAATATAACTGAGCATAACAGTGAAAGTTTATCCCATGCTGTCTAAGGATTTTACCAATTGGGAGCATATATATAGTAAAAAGAATTGGTCCAAGCACTGAACCCTGTGGTACTCCACAAGTAACCCTGGAGTATGAAGAAGATTTTTTCATGTACATTTACAAAATGAAATCTGTCAGACAGGTAGGATTTAAACCAGCCTAGCGCTGTTCCTTTGATCCCTACTACATGTTCAAGCCTTTCTACAAGAACATTGTGAATTACTGTGTCAACAGCAGCACTGAGATCTAACAAGACTAGAACAGACACAAGATTCTTATCGGAGTCCATGAGAATATCATTTGTAATTCTCACTAATGCAGTTTCAGTACTGTGATACGCTCTAAAACCAGACTGAAATTCCTCAAACAGATCATTAGTGTTTAAATGCTCACATACTTGGATGGCCACCATTTTCTCCAGGACTTTGGATAAAAATGGAAGGTTACATATTGGTCTATAATTCATTGGGTCATCTGGATCAAGAGAAGGCTTCTTAAGTGAGAGTTTGATTACAGCAACCTTAAAATCCTGTGGTACATATCCATTTACTGAGGATTGATTGATTATATCTATAATCGGGGCAGTAACCAAAGGAAATTCATCTTTAAATAATTTGGTTGGGATTGGATCTAAAATGCAAGTTGAAGGTTTGGATGAAGCTAATATTTTTGATAACTCTGGAAGCTCAACTGGATCAAAACGGTTCAAGCACAGATGAGGTTCTACAGTTACCTCTGATGCTGCCTCACTTACTGAGGAAGAAAAAATTGCATTAGGGAGGATGCAAAAGATTTTGTTTCTAATAGAATTCATTTTACTTGTAAAAAATCCCATGAAGTCATTGCTGCTGAGGGCTAAGGGAATAGATGGCTCAGAGCTATGATTCTGTGTAAGTTTAGCCACTGTACTGAAAAGAAATTTAGGATTATGCTTATTTTCCTCAATTAATGCTGAGAAATAAGCAGTTCTAGTTTGTTGAAGCTTATTTTTATAAAGCACAAGACTATTTTTCCAGGATAGGTAGGCCTCCTCATGGTACGTAGAGCGCCATGTTCTCTCCAATTTTCTAGTGTTTTGTTTTAAAGCTCGTAAATGAGAATTAAACCAGGGCCTGAAGACCAGGTAGCCAACTTCCTGTCCCTAATTACCTTCTTTTTTAAAGGGGCAACATCATCTAATGCCACACGTAAAGAGGAAGTAACATTATGAACAAAGGCATCAATTTATGAGGGGCTAGAACTGAAAATGTTGCCCTCTGCTACATGCCTCTGAGATGCAGAGGACAGTACAGATGGGACAGTTGATTTAAAAGACGCAACAGCGTTGTTAGATAGAGACCGACTATAGTGAAATTTACTTTCATGTCTCAAGAACCCAGTTATAAAAAACTCAAAGGTTATCAGAAAGTGGTCCAAGAGGACTGGATAATGTCGAAAGATGGTTATTTCCTCACACTCTATGTCATAAGTCAGCACAAGGTCCAATGTATGATGGCAGGAGTGGGTGGAGCTATGTATTCTTTGAGTAAAACCAATTGAGTCTAAGATATTACTAAGGGCTACATTGAGGCTATCATTTTCAATGTCCACATGAATATTAAAATCCCCCACTACAATGACCTTATCAGTATTTAGCACCAAATCAGATAAAAAATCAGAGATCTGATCCAAAAACTCAGAGTAAGGGCCCGGTGGACGATATAAAACTACAAACAAGAGTGGTTTTACAGTTTTGCAATTTGGATTAGGAAAACTAAGAATAAGATTTTCGAACAAGCTGTAGCTACTAATTGGTAAGGGACTGATTAATAAGTCCGAATGAAAAATGGTTGCTACTCCTCCTCCTCGCCCTGTACTTCGAGAAATATGATAATTTAAATAATTAAAAGGAGTCGACTCATTTAAACCAACATAGTCCTCTTGCTGCAGCCAGGATAAAGCTGCTAAAATTAAATAAACCAGGATAGTTCTGCTTTAACATCGCCTCTGTCCCACTGCTCTCTGCCAGATCATTTGTGTTTTCTGTGTCAGTGGTCAGGAGTCTCTGGTAGACTGGGTATAAAATTAAACAGGAGACAATTAGTGAGGTTGTATGAAATGAGATCACCATTTTGGGCCTTTTTGTACATAATGTTCCACAGGGGTCAGTATTTGGTCCAACACCTTTCAACCCATATAATTGATGTGTGTAAAGTGTGGCATAAATTCAAATTAGTATCATTAAAAAGTGACACTTTTCTTGGGGGGGGGGGGGGGGGGGGGGGAATGAGGCTAGGACAGGGACAATGTTTCATGTACTCATAACATGTTTTGTAACTGTTACTTTATTTTTGTGGAATGCAATTCACTTTCTGTAACACAAAATTTCTGTTTTGTAACACGTAATTTTCAATTTGTCACACGTAACTTTTAGTACGTAACATTTCCTTTTCTGACTAACAAAAAATATCAATATAAAAATTTGTAGATATATTAAACTGATGTAAAAAAAAGAACGTAAATTTTGAATTAGAGCAGGATGTCATATCCGAGGCACATGATTGGACAAAGCCTGTCATTGGTTCTTAGAGAAAGACGCTAGAATTGGGACAAAATGTTTTGTACACGTAGATCTGTGTTTTTAGTGTGATTTGAAACTTGTACATAGATTTTCTTTCTGCAAGTTACAAAATGAATGTTTCATGTTATGTACCGAACGTTACACGTTACAAAATAAGATTTACATTAAACAAAAACAAAAGTTATGTGTTACAAAACATGAATTTCATGCTACAAAACAAATGTTACATGTTACAAATGAGAATTACATGTTACAAAACAAACATATGTGTTACAAAATATGAATTACATGCTACAGAATTAAAGTTACACTTATAAAACATGTTACAAGTACAAAACTTGGTACAAGTTACATATAATATTGTTCCAATCTTAGCTCCATATCTTTAACCCTTTGATGCATAATGGTCACTACAGTGGGCAGGTACTAAAAATTGTTATTTATTTGTTTTTGCTATTAAGCACAGCTGTTGAAGACTTTATTGCATTTGAGCCCCTCCATTTGGACTTCAATAAGTCAAGCCAACATATTTCATGCTCAGAATGCACGCTGTCCACTGAGGTGGACATGTAATAAATTATTTGTAAATTACAAAATTTTACAAAAAATGTTTGTTGAAATTTGTTTCATTCACACCTAAATACAAATGAAAAAAATTGTTTAAAAAATAATGGTTGAAGATTTGACAGAAATAATATATTTAGCCTTAAAACAAAAAAAACACAGTTTTTCATATTTGAAATGAATTCTAACGTTTAAAAACAAATAGATGGTACTGAAACGAAAAGGATTGATGAGATCAAATGTGTTCACCAGTTCGTAGATGATGGAAAAGGATGAACATCTCATAAACTTTTGCACAATAAAACCTCAGAAGGCATTTCAGTAGTAAATAAACACCAAGTGGACCAGAAATCACGTTAAATGTGAAAACATTCACTGGTTCCATCATATTCAGTCACTGAATGATCATTAGTATTATGTAATGTATGTGAGCATGCATACATGCATTGGTGTGAGTGTGTGGGTGTGTGTGTGTACCTGCGTGCGTGCATGTGCGTGTGTGTGTGTGCGTGTGTGTGCGTGCGTGCGTGTGTGTGTGCGTGTGTGTGTGCGTGCATGAGTGTGTGTGCATATCACTACAGTCATAGTTCTGCAGTTTAATCTCTGGGTCCATCCACAGACTCTCTCTTTCTTTATAGTCCCATCCCATCCTTCATAAACATTGCTTTCTTTGTCATGTTTTGCATTCTCTAGATCACTAACCCTGTGCAGTTCCCATAAGGCAATAGGCTGAACTAACACACAACTTCTCTGGGCTTAAAAACAATCTCAGATCCTGATGTCAATATTTACTTCTTGCAAAAGCTGTATCATCCAGCTGATGTTTTTTTCTTCCGCTGTGTCTTGTGACAATATTTCTGAGCTCTTGTGCATTCAGGTGTGTGTGTGTGTGTGTGTGGGGGGGGGGGGGGGGGGGGGGGCATATGTGTGACAACAATAAGTGCAGCTGTTTCTTAGTGTGTGTGCATGTGTGCATATGCACGTGTGTGTGTGTGTGTGTGTGTGTGTGTGTGTGTGTGTGTGTGTGTGTGTGTGTGTGTGTGTGTTTTGAATGGTGAATGATTCTAATGAAGTTGTCACTGGCTGTTTGTCTAGATCTGATTTGGCGTTACCTCCACAACCAAATAAATGGAATTGCCCATGTGGACTCAAGCCGAGCCCAAGAACATGCAAGTCATTAGGCATAAATCTGGAGTGTTCTGTCAGAAAGCACCATCCAAAGGTGGAAAAAATGTATTGCATCCTCTCTAATTCCATGATTAAGGCTGGATGGTACGCCTCTCATTCGTGTTCATTACAACGCTTAAATAACATTTTCTCAAGGGTGTTCTTTAATTGTCAGGTTATTTGTTGTGTTTCTACTTTTTGCATAACACCCCTCTGGTAAAAGCCTTTATTGAGCATGTCTGGGTGGACAAACTATAGCATTTTCCTTGCCATTTCTGCTCATCTTGCAGCCGGAGTTTATGATCCACCATTCCAGCTTTGTTCAGTAAGTTTCAGTAAGTCCTTTGTGACGCACTACTTTTGGGACACAAAAAAAATAAATGTTTGTTTTTGTCCCATCGCATGGAATTTGGTCATTTTTTTACCTAGTCATCAATGTAAATAAGGTTCTGTGCTGCAAAGGCTACCTCCTGACCCAGCTCTGACGTGGATGCAACAACGAGGCTGAAGTTAGCTTCCGATTCCATCCAAGGGCCACGCCACTGAAACTGCTCTGTTAGCAGTGACGGAATCCTTAAAAGAAGCTAGAGCGACTGCCAAATCCTCAGTGCTTATCCTGCTCGACTTATCGGCTGCATTTGACACTGTCAACCATGGCTTCCTTTTGTCCACACTCTCTAGCATGGGCATCACAGAGAAAGCACACGCCTGGTTTGAATCGTACCTCACAGGACGATCATTCAGTGTATCTTGGCTTGGACAATCCTCTACTGTGCACCATCTTGCCACAGGAGTCCCCCAGGGCTCTGTACTAGGACCTCTTCTCTTTGCCAAATACACCACCTCACTGGGTGAGATCATTCGATCACATGGCTTCTCCTACCACTGCTATGCAGACGACACCCAGCTCTATCTGTCATTTCCACCGGACGACCACACTGTCTCTGCACGAATATCAAACTGTCTCTCTGACATATCAAAATGGATGAAATCCCACCATCTCCAACTCAACCTCTCTAAAACTGAATTACTTGTCATCCCAGCAAAACCATCCATACAGCACAATATCTCAATCCAAAATGACTTCCTATATCTGGCTCCTTCAAAGGCAGTTTGAAATCTGGGTGTTGTGATTGATGAACACTTGACCTTTAAAGATCACGTTGCCTCTGTTGCCCGTTCATGCCGCTTTGCGCTGTATAACATACGAAAGATCAGACCATACCTAACACAACATGCCACCCAGCTCCTGGTGCAATCTACTGTCATCTCCCGCCTCGATTACTGCAATGCCCTTCTAACTGGTCTTCCATGCTGTACTGTGAGACCTCTTCAAATGGTCCAGAACACAGCGGTGTGCGTGGTCTTCAATCAGCCAAAAAGAGCACACGTCACCCCTCTGTTCATTGAGCTCCACTGGCTACCGCTAGCAATACGCATCAAATTCAAATGGCTAACACTAGCATACAAAGTCCGAGATGGTACGGCTCCCATCTACCTGAATCCTCTTGCAAAGGCTTACGTCTCGGCCCGGCCGCTCCGGTCATCACAGGATCGTCAGAAATCAGGACACGCTCAGGACAATCCAGACTCTTCTCATGCATTGTTCCTCAAATGTGGAATGACCTTCCAAGCACTACCAGAACAGGGGCTTCCCTTTCAATTTTCAAGAAACTCCTGAAGACCCTGCTCTTCAGAGAGCATCTTCTTATCTAGCACCCTCCCTGCACCCGTCCCCCCTCTCTACTGTCCACTCCTTGTTCCCTTCTCTCCATGATTGATGTCAAGTTGTTGTTGTTTTTATTGTTAGCCTCAAGGGCAACATGCCGATTATCACTTGTAAGTCGCTTTGGACAAAAGCGTCTGCTAAATACATAAACATAAACATCTTCCGATTTGGGAAACGGCTAAAGGGCCATTACACCCAATTTTTCTCCACTCTGACATTTTTAATCTGCTCTAGCTCAAAAACGACAACACCCACACTATTCAAACCTGTTGTAGATCATTCTACTATAATAGCAGATTAAAAAAAACGCAGTGTGAGTTTGTGAAACCTTTCCCCTGATTTGTGAAACTTCAACACAGATTGTATTTTTTGTTGACATGTAGCACAGTTACAGAACACCCACAACTATGCAAAAATTACTTTGACCTTAGCCCTGACTGGAAAGCTGGTTGGCTGTTTGAGAGAACAAAGATCATTTTGCACTCCATGATTTTCGAGCAGTGAATAATTTTGCTATAAATATTCACCAAATGCACCAGATTTCTTTGAAGGAAGCTGTTAAAAGATGTCGTTTACACAAAACCAACAAGTTTTCTGAGAGCAACAATCCATCCAACCACCTTCTTCAAAGCAGGTCTGATACTGACTGACCACTCCAGATTTCTTAATCATTTGCTTCGTGAAGTCATCCTGCCTTTTATAATGCTGTAAGCCCCGCCCACCTGTTAACGCTGCCAAGCATTCAGATGCTCATACATCTACTGGTACTACCATACCCTGTTCTACTGGTGCTATCAGACATGTGTCAACACAGTGGCTGTCTTGTGTCAGGTTTCAGACTCCAGAGGGTCCGGTCATGTTGGGTCAAGGCTAACTTTTTGCTGCTTCTGCAGGTTCTAATGCAATACTTTTAATTCAGTTTAATTCAATTCAATTCAAGTTTATTTATATGGCGCAAAAATCACGACAAGAGTCGTCTCAAGGCACTTCACATAATAAAACATTCTAATACAGGTCAGTTCATTAAGCCAATCATTAGAAAATTTCCTGACTTACAGCAATCCTCATACTAAGCAAGCATTTAGCGACAGTGGAGAGGAAAAACTCCCTTTTAACAGGAAGAAACCTCCAGAGGATCCTGGCTCAGTATAAGCAGCCATCCTCCACGACTCACTGGGGATCGAGAAGACAGAGCAGACAGACAAAGACACACACACACACACACACACACACACACACACACACGCACCAAGTAGTGTTTCTATGGTTACATTGTGATTTCTTAGTACATATTCTATTTGGTGAGAGATAAACTTTATTGTATTTATCCTAGTGGATCTATAATTAAACGGGTAAACTAGTAGTAGCACATTCGATGTAAAAGAAAGTAAAATGTTATTATCAGGAGAGGGAGAATGATTAAGTGGTTAGCAGCAGTGTTCAAGCTGATGCCCCCTCCATGAGGCTACCACAGTTCAGCAGAACATCATTGTAGCTTCTTCTGGGGAGAAAAACACTTAGAGAAAAAATAAAGTTAACAGTTGAAATAGCAGGAAATAATAGAGTTAAAGTACAAATTATAGAAGAAAGTAGTAGGGTGTGGAAAGTGGTCAGTATGCCCTCCAGCAGTCTAAGCCTATAGCAGCATAACTACAGAGATAACTCTGGATAACCTAGCCTTTTAGATGGAGGCATGTTGGAGTCAGGGCAAGGGAGAGCCGTCTTTACCGACTGTACACTCCACCTCCCTGTACTCCCCCACTTGTCCAGATCTGGGCTAACATCAGATTTTAACCATAGGCCCTATCAAATAAAAATGTTTTAAGCCTAGTCTTAAAAGTAGAAAAGATGTCTGCCTCAATGACTAAAGCTGGGAGATGGTTCTATAAGAGAGGAGCCTGATAGCTAAAAGATCTGCATCCCATGCTATTTTTAGATATTTTGGGAACCACCAGTAAACCTGCAGTCTGAGAGCGAAGTGCTCGGTTAGGAACATATGGAACAATCAGGCCACTGATGTATACTTTTAAATGTACTTTTAAACACTAAAGACTAAAAATATCAGTCCTACTGGTAAATAAAAGCTCAGTGAAGCATATGAAAGTTAAATGTATGAACCATGTGCACATGCAGCAACAAAACAGTAGAGGGTGAACAGTAATTGTCCCCATGGCAACAGAGGCTTCTGCATTAGGAGTGCTACCTCCTCTCTCCATGAGCTGAATCCAGCATAAGTGGAGAAAACAACACTGACCAAACACGGTCGCCCTCTTGTGCCTGTTTGGTGGTACTATATCTGGTTAACGAAACATTGGCAGATTTTGAAAGAAAACGATATATCTGTAATAAAACCATTTTTAATAATAATAAAAATCCCACCCATGTCCCTAACATCTTCATCATTTTGTTGTAATAAACATTGCTAATATCTCCCTTTTTGACTGAAAAATCCAGTTTAAATAAACCGAAATAACACGACTGGCGGAGCCTGTTAAGGCATGTTGAGGTTTAAACCTCTTCATTGTTCTTATTCATATAAAATCATTTTAGTTTAGTTTTTACATTTTATGTCATGTTTATTTTCGTACAAGAACTTCTCTTCTTAAACTTGTTTCTGGCCGGAAACCAACAGCAATGGTTCTGTTTCCAGGTGTTGTGCCGACATATGTTTCCCCGACGAGTTTCGTTCCGTTTCTCGTTGCTTTAATCAGGCGCGTTTAAAGTTTAAAGCCAAACGCTTAAACATACAAAAGATGATAAATAAATGGCCCTGATTAGTTTCTGTCCGTTTTAGAACATAAACCCTTTTGATTCATTCATATTGACATTGAAGCTTGTAGATTTGTCCATTACACACCACTCGTTACGAAAAAGAAAAAAACAAATAAATAAATTAAAAATAATGATAATAAAAACATCACTCGTTACGTCATCACGTTTATAATCCGTTTAATCCCACAAGGTCAGCTTTTAGCCGGAGAAACTCGGCCTGAGGTGGAGATCTCCCCGGGCGGGGACGGAACTCTACGAGGTGACACATTTCGACACAACACCATTGGGGTTCTGCGCTCATGCCTGCTTGTTGAAATGTTTCCCATCCGGAGAAAGGCTACAGCAGCGAGCCGGTAGTTCGCTCGAATCCATTCAGCAGATATTACTATTCTAACCGAAGTGAAACGAGGTGAAAATGAGTTCCGCTCCGCAGAAGAGGTCCTACGGGAAGCTGCCTGTGTGGATAGTGGAGGACCACCACGAAGTAAGGACGGGCTTTAGAATGAATACAGCAGCTGTCGCGACCATTGATAGCCTCTTCCACTTGTTTCTTGTGAACGTGATGTGATCGAAACGGGTGACTCGGTTCTAAAAATAAACTCATAAATGTTGTACGGAGTCCCTCAAAGACCAAAAAACAAACAAACAAACAAAAAAAACAACAACTGAGAAACGGTTTATAAACTTTTCTCCTTCCCTTTGTGAATTATATGACAGAGCTGCGCAACAATTAGGAATAGATGGTTTTATTGTTTTGGGGTAATCAAAGACGATTTTAGGCAACATGATAAAAGTGTGTGATCTACCAGCAGAGGCAGCTATTTGGAGCAGATTTCCTTTTTAGCTGAAATGACAGATTTACTTTATCATCTGTGTACCAACAAGGTGCTTTCTGGGATCCCATTCCTGCTGCTGCTGTAGTGATGATGGGAGAGGAGCCAGAAAGTGAGAGGCCCAACAGCCGTTCTTCATTTAGCCAAAGAGCAGTTCCGCGTCTTTATTTTTACAGGTTGGACAGGTTTCATATTGATGTAAATTTAAAGGGGCATGAAGTAAGAAAAATTATCCCGTGGTCAAATTTGGGTACTGCAGTTCAAATGTCAAAACAAACAAGTGCGCTCCGAGCAACTGTTGCCAGAGGACTGGACACTCCAGCCCACAATCTGACCAGGCTATTAATTAGTTTACTTCACACCTGCCCTACTGGAAACTGATCAACCAATCAGAGCTGACTATGGGAGAGTCACTGATTTCTCATGCCCACATTCTTTTTCATACAGTGTGTAAATGAAGCAACGTTGTGGCCAAAATGGTGCAGACATGTCTGTCAAATGGAAACAGGAAGTGGGTTGCTGGTTCAAACCCAGGCTGGAGGTGTTCGGATGGGCTGGTGGTGAATGTGTATGACACTTCCGTCACGATGGGGAAGGCTGTTTTCAGGTTGGCGTCCAGCAAACAGCAGAGTGTCTTGCCTAGTAGAAGCTAACTGTTAGCGTTAGCAACTCCACAACATGGCAGAACTCCTCCAGGCTTGTGTTGCAGAGCAAACAGAGTTTGGCCCAATCTCACTACTTGCACTGCACCCTGTGGTCTTCAGCAAAGTGTGCAGTAGGGTTCGAGTGCGTAGTGCACAAGTGTGCAAATAATTGTAGAATTGAGACAGGGAGCATTGCGTCACCGATCACAGCGCATGCCGGGATGCTGGTCGCTGTGATACTTTTTTCTAAAACCTTTATTAACAACTGTTAAATAAACAGCTATTTGAAATTAATTTACATTTATTGCTGCTTTGTCTAAAAGTTTTAGAGCATCTACTAATCATCCTAAAATTAAAGGGACATTATGGAAGTTTGACAGCCAAAACATGTATAGAAATAATAAATGTCTTCTTCATACATTCTCCTGCAATGCCCTGGTCCTGTAGAATGAGCCCTGGCATTTTTACTGTGATTGCCTGTTTTTCTGTAAAATCACAGAAAAAGAGAGCTGCTCGGGTCGAGCAGGCTGCTTCATGCGCGTTCACGCTCAGGCATCGCCCGTAGCATTTGCTATCCGTAGCTTTAACAGCAGAGAGAGAGGCAGTGCCACTTTGTCGCTGTTCCTAACGCCTAGTGACAAAGCTAGCTAAATTTCTGAGGACCCTTAGCTACTTTCTGTAGAACTTTCTTCTAGATATTTCCTGCAAATTAGCAACAAAATAGCCATTTTCACTCCAAACCGTTCTTTGAACGTTATTTCAGCTGTCATCAATGATATAAATGTTACAGATACAAAAGACGTCACTGGCGCTTTAGCTCACCTAGTTAGACGTCGGACTCTCGTGCAGAAGTCCTGGGTTTGATTCTGGATGTCAGCATAGTTGGTTTAGAGTCTCTATTTTACATTAATGGTATATTTTTTTTACAGTAAGATGCCCAAATTTTTATTTGAGACTCGCCGAACGGCATTGAATTCACAGATAAAAAAAGATGTGGGTTCAACTTTCATTTTGGAACAATTTTTCAAGCAAGGGAAGGGAATGATCTGAGCATGCAGGAGGACTGACCCATCTTAAACCTTTGTCGGCTGTGCTGAAGAGAAAGCTACAGAACCACATTATTTAATTAATTAGCTGCACGTTCTCCTGTCCTCTGTCCTCCGGGCCCCCCCCCCACACACACACACACACACACACACACACACACGGGACTGTCTCAGCTGTTATTTTCGTTAAGGAGTGTGCACGTACAGCATGCGCGCCTCGTGCACGAGCCTACTATTGAAGCTGCCGTTACGCTTTTGGCCTGAGGGGACAATCGCAAGCATAAAAATTCAAAACTCTGTAAAGTCCCTTTAAGTAATTTCATTAGAAAATACATATTTTTCCGAAAAGGAACTTGAGCCTTCTCTCCTGCAGCATTGACTTGTGGGTGATGCCCTTGCCCGAAGCCCACATCACTGCAGACTTCGGTGAAGTGCAGATTAAGGGTGCAATGGGGGCGTGGTCAACTTCCTGACTTGAAAATCGGGGGCACGCTACGCACTCGCACCGCTGGCCGGGAACGCACAATTGAAGGGCACAAGGGTGCAAGTGCGAGTATTGGGATTGGGTCTCAGTAGTAGTCATATTGCTGTTAGCCTATCAGAATAGAGATATCCAAATATCAGGAAATAAGACTCCAAATCCTGTCATCTGAAGACTGCAGACTGAACGTATCCCTCTGTAGTTCTGGGATGAATGAAATGATCCTTCCGTCTGTTTTCTGAACCCGCTGGTTTCAGTTGTCTCTGGACAGGTGGTGGATACACCTGGACAGGCCACCAGACCAGTACACCACATCAGTACATAATCGGTTATTCAGGTCTAACAATAATGTCTCGAAATCTTTGAGTTGTCTTCTATTGTCCCGAGGTTCCAGCTCTGTCACATCAAGGATTATAGCAGAAAACAGAAATGTACAAATAAAATACCACAGGGTTACTCGCTAGCGTTGTTGTTTTGTGTGTAAGTACGACCATTTACGTTTGTGTTTTACTGCAGGTGGTACATCACATTTATCGAGCTATTGCATCAAGACACCTCCCACTCAGCAACATCAAGTTAGTTCACCTGGACTCTCATCCGGACTTACTGATACCTGTCAACATGTCAGCGGACATCGTGTTTGACAAGGAGAAGCTCCTCAGGTCTGTTCCTCCGCCCCATGCTGGGTGGTGCTGACCCAGCTAGCATCGGTTACATCACTTCCTGCTTTTTCAGCAGCACATCATGTATTATATCTGTCAAACAGATGAAGAGAAAAGGAATAATGAGCTTTAAAACCAGGTTTGAACTTACAGTGGTGTGAAAAACTTTTTGCCCCCTTCCTGATTTCTTATTCTTTTGCATGTTTGTCACACAAAATGTTTCTGATCATCAAACACGTTTAACCGTTAGTCAAAGATAACACAAGTAAACACAAAATGCACTTTTGAAATGATGGTTTTTATTATTTAGGGAGAGAACAAAATCCAAACCTACATTGCCCTGTGTGAAAAAGTGATTGTCCTCCTTGTTTAAAAATAACCCAACTGTGGTGTTTCACACCTGAGTTCAATTTCTGTAGCCACCCCCAAGCCTGATTACTGCCACACCTGTTTCAATCAAGAAATCACTTAAATCTGAGCTGCCTGACACAGAGAAGTAGACCAAAAGCACCTCAAAGGCTAGACATCATGCCAAGATCCAAAGAAATTCAAGAACAAATGAGAACAAAAGTAATTGAGGTCTATCAGTCTGGTAAAGGTTATAAAGCCTTTTCTAAAGCTTTGGGACTCCAGCGAACCACAGTGAGAGCCATTATCCACAAATGGCAACAACATGGAACAGTGGTGGACCTTCCCAGGAGTGGGCGGCCGACCAAAATTACCCCAAGAGCGCAGAGACAACTCATCCGAGAGGTCACAGAAGACCCCAGGACAACTTATAAAGAACTGCAGGCCTCACTTGCCTCAATTAAGGTCAGTGTTCACGACTCCACCATAAGAAAGAGGCTGGGCAAAAATGGCCTGCATGGCAGATTTCCAAGACGCAAACCACTGTTAAGCAAAAAGAACATTAGGGCTCGTCTCAGTTTAGATAAGAAACATCTCAATGATTACCAAGACTTTTGGGAAAATATCTTGTGGACTGATGAGACAAAAGTTGAACTTTTTGGAAGACAAATGTCTCGTTACATCTGGCGTAGAAGTAACACAGCATTTCAGACTAAGAACATCATAACAACAGTAAAATATGGTGGTGGTAGATTGATGGTCTGGGGTTGTTGTGCTGCTTCAGGAACTGGAAGGCTTGCTGTGGTAAATGGAACCATGAACTCTACTGTCTACCAAAACATCCTGAAGGAGAATGTCCGGCCATCTGTTCGTCAACTAAAGCTGAAGCCATCTTGGGTGCTGCAGCAGGACAATGACCCAAAACACACCAGCAAATCCACCTCTGAATGGCTGAAGAGCAACAAAATGAAGACTTTGGAGTGGCCTAGTCAAAGTCCTGACCTGAATCCTATTGAGATGCTATGGCATGACCTTAAAAAGGCGGTTCATGCTAGAAAACCCTCAAATAAAGCTGAATTACAACAATTCTGCAAAGATGAGTGGGCCAAAATTCCTCCAGAGCGCTGTAAAAGACTCGTAGCAAGTTATCGCAAATGCCTGATTGCAGTTATTGCTGCTAAGGGAGGCCCAAGCAGTTATTAGGTTCAGGGGGGCAATTACTTTTTCACACCTCTGTGTAACCTGGTGATGTTTATGTAGCACTTTTAAAACTAAACCAGCTAGAGCTCACACACACACACACACATGCGTGTACACACACATTATGTTTAAACACCTTTGTGCAACAGGGTCCAGCGGTTTCTGGTGTTGCAGAAGCTTCAAGTCTCATGGTTAACAAATGAAATCTCATGTATCGTTACAACACTGCCCCCTGTTGACAAACGTTATATTTAGGCGACCTATTTGGCTACAGTTGGAGCCTCTCAGCGACGAAATCCGTAGACATCGTGTCTGAGTAGTTACGGGTGGTTTGATGCATGTTCTGATGCCGTTTTCTGTTCTTAGTGAGCTGAGCATAGAGAACTGGATAATGCCCATGGTGTACGCTGGTCATGTGTCCTGTGTGGCATGGCTGCATCCATACTGGTCCCAGCAGATCAGAGAAGGAGAGCACAGGATGAATGTCGGCAGAGACTCCTCCACCAACACCATCAGGTAGGATAAACTAAATCTGTATCAAGACAGCTCTAACCCTGTAACTGAACACGTGCTCTGACATATCATTATTAGATTATCAATCAGTTTATTAATTACGACTGAATTATTGGTAATGGACTCATATCGTGAGCTCCATGGGTCAGCGTTTGATGAGAAGGGTTGGTTGTTTTTCTGGATAGTTTAGCTGAGGCCAGATTAAGCCACAGCTGTTTGCACTGTGTTAAAGTCGTGCATATACACGGCACCGATCGACACGTCTCTGTCCTCCTGTTGTCCTGACTGTCCTGGTGTCTCTGCAGGGTGACCAGCACAGACAGCTACTTCCTCAGCGATGGCCTCTATGTTTCTGACCAGCATTTACTCAACTCCAAACCGTTCCGACTCAACGTGGTGAGAGTCAATCCTATCAAACCAGCTCCTGCTTTGGCAACAAAAGGTCAGTCAGTAAACAAATGTGTTGTTTACTATAAATTAAGCTTTGTTCGAAGTTCTTAGGAAGTAGGCCAGGGTTAGATTCAATTCAATTCAATTCAAAAACACTTTATTAATCCCAGAGGGAAATTGATTGCTGTAGTAGCTCAGAATAATAATAATAATCAAGTCACCAAAGAGTTGTTGTATATTACAACGGCTGTTGGCAGGAAGGATCTCCAGTAGCGGTCAGTGTTGCAGCCAAACTGAAGAAGCCTCTGACTGAAGACACTTCCGTTGTCGGACAGTCTTGTGAAGAGAACGCTCAGGGTTGTCCATCATTTTCTTGATTCTCTGGAGAATCCTTCTTTGCATCATCTCCTCCAGCGGTTCCGAAACTGCCGAAACTCTGGCCGAGTCCTTAAAAGGTCTTGGAGTTCCTCCATCTTGTTGGCCAGTGATCTCACATTGTCCATTATGATCGATGGAAGAGATGGTTTGAATTTCCTCTTCCTCGCTCTGCACCCACGCTTCTTGCGTTTTAGCTCATTTGGGATTTGTGGCTTCAGTTGAGGTATTATTTCAGCCTTTCCAATGTTAATCAGCTGCTTCCGATTGTAAACCAGCTTGTTGCCATGGTTACGCATCATAACAAATGCTCAAAATGTGACAAAAGCTGAAAAATAGCAGTAAAAATCCTCCAAGCTTCACAGCACCAGAAACAGAAAAGTAAAGCGTCCCAAAAAAATACAGTTTTTCTTGAGAAACTAGAAGAAAAAATGCCCAAGAAAAGGCTAAACTTACATATAGTCAACAGAGCTACTCCAACATGCAGCCACCCAGAGCAGCGCAGTTCCGGAAAAAAAAGTTGTGTATTGTTGTGTGTTTAGTCAGGAGACTCTAGGAGTCAGAGGAGGCCATGACTCTGATCTTGCTAAGAAAGGGGTGTGTCTTTTTACTTTTGCACCCTCCCCCACGAAAGAGTTAAGTTCCCACCCTGTAACTGCAGCGTTGCTGGTTCGAGCCCCACTCAGTCTGTTGCAGCCATTCTGTCCTTGGGCAAGACACTTCACCCTCTATGCAGTGGTAGTCAAAGGGACAGGTGGCCTTACTTCTGGTACAACGTAGCTCATCACCTCCAGCACGTGAATTGGTGAGTGACTGTTGTGTCGTAAAACGCCTCCAGCTGGTTGCCACCTCCAGAGATTTTTCCGTATTTCAATTCAGTTTTTTTATTTAGCGACAAACCAGGACAGAGTCGTCTCGGGCACATTCCAGTTGAGTTCAGTTCATGATGCCAGTTATAGTTAAAAGTTTCCTTCATAAGGAACCCAGCAGGTGCATCGAGTCTGGGACTCCACAGCTTTCCTAATAGCAAGCATGTCGCGACAGCGGAGAGGAAAACTCCTCTTTAACAGGAAGAACCTCCAACAGAAGCTGGCTCAGTATGAGCCCTAACATTCACATTTAAAGAGTTTTTCTCTGATAATGAACATTAAAAGCACCTATTCTCTCATCCATGGGCATAAAGGAAATTATAAACCAGTAAACTTAATACAAATACATGTGATTAATAGTTTTAATGAAGAGAAAACACGGTTATTATCAGGATTTAGAGAAAAAACACATCAAAAGCTTCAAATAAGGGAGTTTTGATTCTGAAATCTGTAACAAGTGAATAAAACATGAGGTAAAAGCGTCGACCGGAAAAGGGTGGCTTGCCAACTCCGGGTCGGGGGAGAGGTCCTACTTCAAGTGGAGGAGTTTAAGTATCTCGGGGTCTTGTTCACGAGTGAGGGTAGGAGGGATCGGGAGATCGACAGGCGGATTGGTTCGGCGTCTGCAGTGATGCGGACGCTGAGCCGATCTGTCGTGGCGAAGAGGGAGCTGAGCCAGAAAGCCAGGCTCTCGATTTACCGGTCGATCTACTTCCCAATCCTCACCTATGGTCATGAGCTTTGGGTAATGACCGAAAGAACGAGGTCGCGGATACAAGCGGCCGAAATGAGTTTCCTCCGTAGGGTGGCCGGGCTCAGCCTTAGAGATAGGGTGAGGGACTCGGAGTAGAACCGCTGCTCCTCCGGATCGAAAGGAGCCAGTTGAGGTGGTTTGGGCATCTGGTCAGGATGCCTCCTGGATGCCTCCCTGGGGAGGTGTTTCGGGCTTGTCCTGCCGGCAGGAGGCCCCCGGGTCGACCCAGGACACGTTGGAGAGGTTACATCTCCAATCTGGTCCGGGAACGCCTTGGGGTCCTGCCGGAGGAGCTGGTGGAGGTGGCCTGGGAGAGGACGGTCTGGAGCTCCCTAGTTGGGATGCTGCCCCCGTGACCCGGACCCGGATAAGTGGAGGAAGACGAGACGAGTAAAAGCGTATAAACACGAAATAACAGGATCAAAAATGTTCAGGGCGTGCTTTTAGACGGCGCTCTAAGGACCAAACAAGCACCAAGACAAGGACTCTGCAGACTGACCTAGACTTCAACTAGACAATAGCTGCTATTTACTTATTATTGTAAAGACACGTTTCCTTCTTCAAACATGAAATAAACTTTTACAGGAAGTTGTTCCCAGTTTAGTTCTGACACAGAAAATTTGTAGACCATTGGCTTTTGTTTTTATAAAATACTGTTCTATTACAAATGAGTTTTAGGAAAGCAGTTTTACTGTCATTCTCACTAATCATCCATCCATTTTCAGCCGCTTATCCGGTCGGGTCGCGGGGCAGCAGCCCAGACTTCCCTCTCCCCAGCCACTTGGGCCAGCTCCTGTGGGGGAATCCCAAGGAGCTCCCTGGCTAGCCAAGAGACATAGTCCCTCCACCATGTCCTGGGTCTTCCATTAGGTCTCCTACCGGTTGGACGTGCCCGGAAAACCTCACCAGGGAGGCGTCCAACTCAGATACCTGAGCCACCTCAACTGGCTCCTCTTGATGTGGAGGAGCAGTGAATCTACTCCGAGCCCCTCCCAGATGACCGAGCTTCTCACCCTATCTCTAAGGGAGAGCCCAGCCACCCTGTGGAGAAATCTAATTTCAGCCGCTTGTACCCGCAGTCTCGTTCTTTCGGTCACTGCCCAAAGCTCGTGACCACAGGTGAAGGTAGGAACGTAGCTCGACCGGTAAATTGAGAGCTTTGCCTTCCGGCTCAGCTCTCTCTTCACCACGACAGGCCGGTACAACGCCCGCATCCCTGCAGACGCAGCACCAATCAGCCTATCGATCTCGCGCTCCATCTTTCCCTATATTTATCATTGCTTTTCTGTCTGGCTCTGGATTTCAGGGTTTGACACCGAGAGGTGTTCAGCTAAGAGATCTCGGACAGATGAGGACGGGGAGACCAGCTGTTCCTCAGCCCTCTCATCAGGAAGTGTAGCACCACAGCCAGCAGAGGGCAGCAACAGCAAGGAGCAACATCTCAGAGATGGAGACGACCGCGATGGATCAACCAGCTACGTTGTTGAGAGAATAGCTTCAGTTCTTAACGTAGCAGATGCATATGTCCTGGACATTGACTTGGATTTCTTCTCCTGTAAAAATCCCTTTAAGGAGTTGTACACAGAGGTAAGCCTCCCATGCAGCAGATATCAGTGTTGCATCAACAGCTGTGCCCCATCCACGTGTTGGTCTCCCGCTCACTCCTTCCCTCTGTCCCTGTGTCTGTCTTCATGGTGTCCCACTGTAGATCTGAATTAAAGCTGATCCGAGTTCTGTTTGCCTTTCCAGGAAGAATATTCCATTCTTAAGGAGCTCTACAACTTTAGAGGGCCCAGTCTCTGTGCTGATGAGGTCAGAAAAGTCCGTCCTGCTATAAATATACACTCATTCATACAGAGCTGACTAAAACCTGCAACTAGGGAGGTTTCATAATATTCTACCATTAATAGTGATGCAAGAAAATATCTATTTGGCAATATACTGTGATATATTTTCCTGCAATATTATATTGATATTCAAAGATGCAATTTAAATGTCGACCGCAAGTTGGCAGCAGGGTGCAGTGGGTTTTGTTTCCACCACTGAAATGTAAACCCTCTGTTATGGTGCAGATACCTCATGTTAAACATGTTAAGTATCACTGTGGACTGTTTATTCAGTATTCCAACAATAAATTCAGTCTAAAATAATTGCTAATAACATCTGACTGGATGTATACGTATCATATTGCCAGAATTTCACCAATACACATCCCTAACCATTAATATCGGCCAATATCAACATTAATCTTTAAAAAAAAAAAAGTTGACAATAATAATAACCGTCTTGTTTTTAAAAAAATATATCTCGGTGGACTACCGTGGCTGCAGTGTAGGTGCGGTGACCCTTACCAGCCACCGTATCATCTGCTGAAGTTGCCGGCGGCACATGCACACTTTGTTGTTTACAACCAAAACTTTCTTGAAGCTAAAACTGAAATAATGGCTAAAGGAGGAGACGGCAACGCTCAGGGGGATATTTTTCATCCCTCAAAGAAGACAAAGTGGGAAGTACGGGCATTTTTGGATATTTGAAGAATGTCGAGGGACAGCTGATAGAAGACGGCTATCCTGTTTGCAGCACGTGCAGAAAAAGTGTTTGTGAAAGGCAGCAACGCTTCAAATGTCATGACAGTCAACGCAAGGCAAGCTAACGTTAGCGTTTTAGCTAAAATGCGTGATCCGAGGATTTGGGTTGAGGGAGAATTTAACGAGTCGCTATATAAAGCAGCCGCAGCGCCGCTACCTACACATAAACCGTGTCGCGGACACCCCCATGTTGAAATGAGGCTATGCATTACGGGGCTCCCAGGGGCAGATAAGAGTTGGTCTCTCTCCGAGAATAATTATGAATTTAACGATTACTGCCTGATGACATTTTCCCACATCTGCAAAGCTCACTGGAAGGACACAAACCGAGGACATTATTTTCCTGATATAGGGATTATTACTCAAGTAAGGGTAAAAAAGTATCTGATTAGAAGGCTACTTGAGTACTGAGTATCATCTGATCTAATATTTTTAAAATGATGACATCAAACAGACAAAAAATAAGAAGTTATGGGCAAATATTGCTATTTTAAAGACTAAATGGGAAATATGTAAACAAATAAACAAAATCATTACAAAATAACACATTTTAGGCAAAATTTAGACACAAACTGAGGACAATATTTCCTGACATACAGGGTTTATTTAATTGTGGGGAAAATGTAACACGTTTAAAAAAATACCGCGATAATACCGAAAACCGTGATAATTTTGGTCACAATAACCGTGAGGTTACATTTTCACACCGTGACAACCTTAGACGCAAGATATTAGAAAATTCAGCTTGCATAGTTAACAGTCTATACAAAATCTGCTGATTTCAGAAGCACTGCACATATATGGTATTGGCAAATGTCGGTTATTAGCGGCCAAAACCGATCGGAGATCGGTATTGGTTGGTATTGGTTATCAGTGCATGCCTAGTTTTTACTCCTTTAATGACAACGTTTACATACCATACACATATTATACATCAAACTCTTCAGCTCCTTCTCTCTCTCAAAATGTTAAAATAGGACAGATCTGAGGTTAAGTGTCTGAGATATTTTAGTTTATTTGGCACAAGCTGTGAAGTAGAAAGTTGCCCTATGTAGTGAATGTACACTGTGCTCACAGCCAGTGATGCCAGTAACACGTTATTTAGTAGCGCATTAGTCTTAAAATGACCACCTTCTCCAGTAATGACTAATGTAACGCATTACTTATTCCATATCAGTAATCAAATTAAAGTTACCTTTCCAAGATATTATGTGTTACTGATTACCTTTTTGTGTAACCGTTTTTCTGATTTGCAAAGATGGCAAAACCAGACACACAGAGCTTGTAACCAACAACAGCATGTATACAGTATTCAGAAGCAGCATATATATATGGCGTCAGAATTCTGCCATATCTCGTGCACGCGTATTGTCCACATCGCGCATGTGAACGGGACTCGCGCGTGGAAGTTAGAGCCTCCACGAGTGAAGATATACATGGCGAGGAAGTTATTTGTACACTGAGAGGGAGCAAACTGTGTCTGTGAGCGCAAAAGGATGTGCACAAGTGACAAACCTGCATGCGCGCGTTGGCCAACGAGCACACAGCAGAGGAAAACATGCGTGCGGCAGCCTCACTGTGCGTGTGGCAGCCTTTCTGCGCGCTCGGTTTCTGATTCTGCTCACTCGGCTGTTGGGAGTTTTGGCACTCTGCCGGCTTGGAAGAATTAAAGGGCCAGAAATTGAGCACTTGAACTTTCAATTTGAGAGCAGAATTTCATATCAAGAGACCAACTTTTTATATTATTGCTCTCAAAACTTGTAATGCTTGCGCTCAAAATGTCTGCTCTCTTTCAAATTCACTCTGTTCTCCTTCAAATCTTAGTTTCTGCGCTCAGATTTAACCTTCTTACAGAGAGCAGACATTTTGAGCGCAAGCATTACAAGTTTTGAGCGCAATAATATAAAATCTTATTGTGAAATTAAAAAGTTGGTCTCTTGATATGAAATTCTGCTCTCAAATTGAAAGTTCAAGTGCTCAGTTTCTGGCACTTTAATTCTTCCAAGCCTCCAGAGTGCCAAAACTCCCAACAGAGCAGAATCAGAAACCGAGTGCGCAGAAAGGCTGCCACACGCGCAGTGAGGCTGCCGCGCGTATGTTTTCCTCTGCTGTGTGCTCGTTGGCCAACGCGCGCACGCAGGTTTGTCACTTGTGCACATCCTTGTGCGCTCACAGACACAGTTTGCTCCCTCTCAGTGTACAAAAAACGTCCTCGCCATGTATATCTTCACTTGTGGAGGTTCTAACTTCCACGCGCGAGTCCCGTTCGCATGCGCGATGTGGACAATACGCGTGCACGAGATATGGCGGAATTCTGACGCCATACATATGAAGCTACTAAATGAGCGAAGGGCACCACGGTCCCATTCTATTTGTGGTGCAAAATTAACACCAACCAAAACTAACCCTATTAGAGAAGGGAACAAAAGCCTGACATCCAACACAACACTGGCAAAAAAAAAAAAAAAAAAACACACACCTAAATAGAACAAACAACTGGCATCCTGGATACCCACAATGCACCTCGCCCACTGCTTGTTCAGCAGGCACTAGTGTCACTAGTGACCCTGCCCACTGCGGAACAGACAGCGGATGAGGTGCATTGTGGGTACCTGGTTTTCAGTTGTTTTGTACTACATTACTAACCAACACACACATCTTAGCTTAGGGAGAATGAGACTCAGCTATTACATATGGCACATTACCTACTACTAACTTAAGTTGTTGTCATTTTCCACAGCGGTGTGTGTGTGTGCATGGACGTCATTTTCGCTTTAGAAGTGGGGGGGACACGGGGAGGGGTATCTTTACAGTATGCTCTAATGGGAAACAGGCTTCAACACAAAAGGTTGTTTTCCGCTTGGTCCTGGAGCTCAACCAGTGTCAATTTAATATAGCGTAACATTGTTTTTGGATGGTAAAAAGTGCAGGGGTCAAAACTTGACTTTGGAAAGAGTGGGGAGGACATGTCCCCCCCCCCCCAAATTACATCCATGTGTGTGTGTTTCTCAGAAACAAATTGAGAGGTCCAGTTTCCACGTCTCTGAATCTCCTAGCAGTGATAAACGAACGTTTCGGTTCCTGCCCTGTTTACTGACTAAAGTGACACGTTTTACTTCCACATGAAGGAAGAGCTTGAAGAGTGTGTAGATCATCGCGTACGTCAGCTAGAAGACCTAGAAGCCACGTTTGCTGATCTGCTGGAGGACGATGGAGAGGAGGCAGTGGCACGCTGGGCCAGTAACCCGGGGTAAAGTTCTTTCCTTATTGTCACACTAAGTTGTTTCTATTAGATTTTAGGTTCAGTTCAAATTAAAAATGGCCACCACAGCTACTTACTTTAGAAACATCGACGTCCAATGACAAAGCATCATTTAAATTTTCTTCTTGTTTCTATTTTCTAGCATGTCTTCTTTGTCCCAACTGGTGTCCAGTTTGAAGGCTAGACATGCGTGTCCCGACTATGAAATGGTAAGAATGCTGTTGCAGCCATCATTTACAAGTACGTACATGAATGCTTTTCCTGTGTTTGTGTAAAAGCTCAGATGGTGCTACACCAGGTTTTACTCTAAGCTGAAACATTCTACAGATGTTACTGGAGCTTTGTTTGTATGAGAGCAATTTTCAGACGGGACAGACGGCAGACTTACACAAAATCACAACCACAGCACACTTAACTCTATACAACACCATTTCATGTGAAAACAGTCCTGTATATGGTAAATATATGAATCTTTGTAAGTTTTTTAGTGTAGTTTTGTTTCATCTTGCATCTGTTGTTCCATAATGGCTGCTATTCCCCTAGCTCCTCTCTCCTCAACGCCTCTTTCCTTCCTTCTGTTTCTTTTTACATAACAGGAGTAGCGATAGGTACCAAATTCGGTACTTTTTAAGGTACCGACCGAATTCCATAGTACCGACCGAGCACCGATTCACGTCATTTCAAACGGTGCCTCGTTTCGGTACCCGTCCTTCATAACGAGAACTTGCCTAGACAGCTGCGCATGCGCAAGAGCGTTATGTCGTCGGTCGCTGCGAGCGAGTTGTAAACAGAGCAGCATGGTAGAAAGAACGCACGCTAAAGCTTGGGTCCACTTCACTAAATGTGATGGGTAACTGGGTGATGATGAAACCAGCGACAGACAACGATCTAAGTGAGACATCCTCATCTTAATCTGCTCCGGTAGGTAAATAAAATGTTTAAGATAACGTTAGCTTGATATGTTAGCTTCCGTTCCGCTAATGGTGCGTTTGCTTTCTCCTCGGAACTCCGAATTTCCGACTAGAAGAACATGAACGCGCTCTAAAGTTTGGCTTCACTTTACTAAATGTGACGGGTGATTGGGTGAAGATGAAACCAGCGACAACGATCTAAGTGTCAGGCATCGTCGTTTTAATCTGCTCCAGCAGCTAAATAAACTGTTTAAGATAACGTTAGCTTGATAAATTAGCTTCCATTGCCACCATTGTTATCAGCTAATGGTGTGTTCGCTTTCTCCTCGGAAATTCTAACTTCCCAGTAGGAAAAATCAAATGAAAAAGGACGGCAAAAGGAATGAAGATACACAGTAAATTTAGTTCACAGTAAAGATGTTTGCTTCAGTTTAATTATCAGCTTATAAAACTACAAGGACGATGTTAAAATACAAACAGTTGAATGTTATTTATCGTGATATTTATCAAATATTGTTATATATTGAGAAAAATATATTTAATTATAAAAGAGAATTAAAATATTAAACACTCAAAAGTATCTAAAATTGGTACCGTTAAGTACCGGTATCGATTCCTAGGTACCTGGTATTAGTACTGAATCTATTCAAATGTCAAACGTACCCATCCCTAAAAAGGATTATCTAGGGCTCTGCCTGCTGGAGCGATAACCTCCTCTCACACAATACGGTACTCTGATCCACCGTTCTGCCTGCCAAAACTCTCCCGGTGCAAAAAGAACCGCTTTGAAGTTCGCAAGGAAACGGTTTTGCTGCCTTTTCGCCCTGCTGATGCTTCCAGTGTGAAACCGGGGTCTTTCTGTAGGAAGTCCATGCAGGTGGTTGGACACAATGCCTGATGAGACTGACTGGTTCTTCTTCTGGCTCTTGAAGGGTGCAGTTGCTTTTCTTGTCCTCTCCTCCATATCTTATCCTCAAGGCCTTTGTCTGTCTCTGTGTGCTGGGTGCTGGCTGCTTCTGCGTGTTTTCTGGAAACTGCAAACTGAAATTCACAAAAATGGATCTCGTCAGTTGGTCACTCAACGCGGTTGATAAAAGATTTTCAACGATGAGAACGGGAGAAGGGGCTCCCGGATGCCCCTCTGGGCCAGACCAGCTGTCTGTGGAGGACTCTGAAGATGTGTGGATATTCGTGGTGTTGGTGTTGGGTTTCCTGCTGATCGGCATTGGAAGCTTCCTGGCTTACCGGAAAACTAATGAGCTGTCGAGGAATATTGGCCTGATCCCGGAGCTCAGAGATGGTTTGCACCACGCTGTGAATTCAGATTCACATAATTGTCGAGATGAATCGTAAACTTGGGACTTTAACCGAGATTCATTATTGGCACAAAAGATGGATGCCATCAAGGAGAGAGTGGACGAATCAGCACGGATTGGGATAGATTAATGTCCATTATTGGGATTTTGAGAGGTTGAGGACCAACAAACTGTAAGACAAAGAGGAAATTATCTGTCTGTCCCCAAAACAATTTCTAATCGAAATCTGGTGCCCTTGAGCCTGCAAGGCTCCAACGAAAACTCCCACCTCAGAAGATATGTGGAATGCGCCGTCGCTATGGCAACTCAACTCTGTCTCCTATCCCAGCCTGGGCGGGACTGCGGGAAGGCAGCTGAAACGTTCCAGGGTCACTGCAACCCTTCAACCCTCAATGCTCCTCCCCCTATCCACACTGAGGTGACATGCGCTGCTTATCGTGGCTGCAGGAACTGAAGCGGGGATAGTCCCAACCCACCACCCCACCTAGTGGACACTTGTGTTGTCTGAAGTCTGTTGCATATCTGTCTGAGGTGTTTTTTTTTTTTTTGCAGAGCAAAGCTGCCCTCTTGCTAGAGGGTAGCTGTGAAGTGCCTTTTTTTCCTCCACCTGAACCAATCCTCATGTAACCCTCTTATCTTTATTAAGGTAGCGCGACTCAGGGTTGCGAATGACCACAGTCACCAATTCTTGTCATGTGTCTTGCCCATGTATGTCTGATCTCTGAATTTTGTGTACTGAAACTCTTATTTCCCTCTGGGATTAATAAAGTATCTTTGATTGATTGATTGATTGATTGATTGATTGATTGATTGATTGAAACGTTCATTCTGGGCTTGCTTCAAATGTGCCCCACCTCTCCCGACCTTTGACCCTACAGGTCCACCAGGCGGGTCTAACCTGTGACTCGATGGAGCTTCCGCACCACATCAGCTCTGATGATGAGATTGATGGACTCATTCTGGCTGTGCAGCTTTTTCTGAAGGCTCTGCCCACACCCACACTTGTGACCATGTCCAGGTGAACAATCCAGACCACATCACACATCAGGATTAACCACGAGGCTACATGTCCTTGTCAACATCTGTTTACAGGTCCAGTCTGGATGAGTACTGCCCAGCTGAGCAGGTGGATTCAGTCCAGAGTCGAGTTCTGGCTGTCCTGGAGGGCCTGTATGGTCTGCTGTCTGTGTATGAAGACTATAAAGGCAACAGCAAAGAAACCCTAGACCCTCCAACAAAAACAGATTCAACTGTGTGAACGTGTGTGATCTTGCTGCTGTGGGATGCGCTCTATGCATCTGCGTGTTGAGTGTAGGTAGGAACAATCCTGAACACGACACGTTCACTCGCTGAATGTCAACTCTGTGTTTTAAATGTTCTGTATGAAGGAGCAGCGTTTTATTTCTGAAACAAATCTTAGTCTCAGTTTGTCAGGTTGGGATGAGGATTATATCCTAATTTGTTTCCATCTGGAGTCACTGAGCTGGACAAACACATAGAAACCAGTTAAAAAAGTCTGATCGCGGTCGTTTGTCGCCTCTTGTGTGTCGAGCCCATTAATGTAAAAAAGAAACTCTAAATAAACTATGTTCACATCCAGAATCGAATCCAGGTCTTCTGCATGAGAGTCCGACGTCTTACTAGGTGAGCTAAAGCACCAGTGACATATTTTGTATCTGTAACATTTATATCCTTGATGACAGCTGAAACAACGTTCAAAGAACGGTTCGGAGTGAAAATGGCTATTTTGTTGCTAATTAGCAGGAAATATCTAGAAGAAAGTTCTACAGAAAGTAGCTAAGGGTCCTCAGAAATGTAGCTAGCTTTGTCACTAGGCGTTAGGAACAGCGACAAAGTGGCACTGCCTCTCTCTCTGCTGCTAAAGCTACGGATAGCAAATGCTACGGGCGATGCCTGAGCGTGAACGCGCATGAAGCAGCCTGCTCGACCCGAGCATCTCTCTTTTTCTGTGATTTTACAGAAAAACAGGCAATCACAGTAAAAATGCCAGGGCTCATTCTACAGGACCAGGGCATTGCAGGAGAATGTATGAAGAAGACATTTATTATTTCTACACATGTTTTGGCTGTCACACTTCCATAATGCCCCTTTAAATACAAAGTTACTCTTCATAGATCCAAACAAAAGCACAGATTTCAGCTTCCTCCACAAGTAATTAGAAGTAATTAGAATAAAAATATTAAATCTGGTCCAAAGCTAATCTTGTTTTCATCAGCTGTGGTAATTAAAGGCGACAGCTTTACTTCTACATGATGACTGATGGGATCTAAAAAACTAACAGGCTACAGGAGGTTTATAAACAGGTTTTATTGCATCTTTTAAAGGATCATTTGACTTTAAGTGTAGTTTTACCACTCGAGTATTTTTCAGTGTCCGCTGTTGTTTGTGTTTGGTGTTACTTTTCCACTCATCTCCAGCTTGATTGCTTTACCACAAGCAGAAATTTGTATTGTAGATAATAGTCATTTTTTATATGTATTCAGATTAAAAGAATTTAAAAGCACCATGAATGTCCTCTTGCTGATTCGCTGAAGCTTTATTTTCTGATGATGGCCATAAATACCATTTATAGTTGTGTCATATAGACACTTTAGTCCTGATTCACCCAACTCTTAGGATTGTTTCCTAAAAGAACAGAGAACCCTGGTTAACATGGTAACCAAGTCTTGTAAGCGCCAAGACTCGTCTCAAGGCACTCTACAAAGTAAACGTTCCAATTGAAGCTACTCAGTGCATTGACTTGAGTTCATTATGCTAATTAAAGTGTCTTCTGGCTCTTGGAGGGTGCAGACGCTTCTTTTCCTCCTCTCCTCCACATCTTATCCTCAAGGCCTTTGTCTGTCTCTGGGTGCACGGCTGCTTCTGCATTTTTCTGGAAACTGAAATCCACTGAAATGGATCTCGTTAGCTGGTCTCTCAATGCGATTGATGAAAAATTTTCAACGATGAGAACAGGAGAAGGGGCTCCCGGATGCCCTGCCGATACAGACCCAGTTGGACACATCATGGACTCCTGGAAAAAGTGGAACTTGATTTGTTTATCTCAGCTGTCTGTGGAGGACTCTGAAGACGTGTGGATATTTGTGGTGTTGGTGTCGGGTTTCCTGCTCATTGGCCTTGGAGGCTACCTGGCTTACCGTAAAATTAACGAGCTGTGGAGGAAAATTGGCCTGATCCCGGAGCTCAGAGATGGTTTGCACCGCGATGTGAATTCAGACCCACATAATTGTTGAGATGAATCGTAAGCTTGGGAATTTGGCCGAGATTCATTATTGGCACAAAAGATGGATGCCATCAAGGAGAGAGTGGACGAATCAGCACGGATTGGGATAGATTAATGTCCATTATTGGGATTCTGAGAGGTTGAGGACCAACAAACTGTAAGACAGAGAGGAAATTATCTCTGTCTGGCCCCCAAACAATTTCTAATCGGAATCTGGCGCCCTTGAGCCTGCAAGGCTCCAACGAAAACTCCCCCCTCAGAAGATATGTGGAATGTGCCGTCGCTATGGCAACTCAACTCTGTCTCCTTTCCCAGCTTGGGCGGGACAGTGGGAAGGCCGCTGAAGCGTCCAGGGTCACTGCAACCCTCCAACCCTAAATGCTCCTCCCCCCATCCACACTTAGGTGACATGTGCTGCTTCATTGTGGCTGCAGGAGCTGAAGTGGGGGTAGTCCCAACCCACCTCCCCACCTAGTGGACACTTATGTTTTGTTGTCTGAAGTCTGTTGCATATCTGTCTGAGGTGTTTTTTTTTTTTTTTTTTGCAGAGCAAAGCTGCCCTCCTGCTGGAGGGTAACTCTGAAGTGCCTTTTTTCCCTCCACCTGAACCAATCCTCATGTAACCCTCTTATCTCTATTAAGGTAGCGCGACTCAGGGTTGCGAATGACCACAGTCACCAATTCTTGTCATGTGTCTTGCCCATGTATGTCTGATCTCTGAATTGTGTGTACTGAAACTCTAATTTGCTTCTTGGATTAATAAAGTATATTTGATTGATTGAAAAGTTTCCTATGTAGGAAAACCCAGCAGATTGCATCGAGTCACTGACTTGTGTCAGAGACTTTACAGCAATCCTTCACTCAACGTCTCCCACGGCTCTCAGGACGAGGTCGAAGCTCAGGTGGAGGTAGGAGTTGAAGACCGTTTCGACAGATGTTCCTAGCAGACCCTGTAACTTCTTTTTTGGGCCCACCCGGTCTACCTGGAGTCTTCCCCCACCATCTCATCCAACTGACCACCGGGTGGTTGATTGCTCTGCCCTTTTCTTCACCTGAGTGTCCAAAACATACAGGTCAGATGATACCACTACAAAGTCTACAAACCTGTGATCTAAGCTGTCCTGGTGCCACATGTACTGGTGGGCAAGGCAGCTTTATTTGTAGAGCACATTTCAAACACAGAGGCAGTTCAGTGTGTTTTACTATTATCAGGACATGATATGAAAACACACAAAGACAAATTAAAATACACACAAATGGAATTACAGTTTAGAGGTAAAGGGTAAGACAAGGTTACAGCATAAGAAACAATTCATTTAAAGGCTGATGAGTACATACGGCTTTTGAGTTTCGTTTTAAACAACACTAGGGTTGGGGCAGATCCGAGGTCACGGGGAAGCTGATTCCATATATGAGCAGCATAGTAGCTAAAAGCATCTCCACCATGTTTGGTTCTGACCCGTGGTTCTACCAGCTGATTGTTGCCTAAGGATCTCAGAGCCCTATTGGGTGTACATACAGGAATGAGATCAGACATGTAATTTGGTCCCATGCCATTGAGTGATTTATAAACTAATAGGAGCACTTTGAAATCTATTCTGTAGTTTACTGGTAACCAGTGTAGGGATCTAAGAACAGGAGTGATATGCTCCGTTCTCTTAGTTCTTGTTAAGACTCTAGCAGCAGCATTCTGAACAAGCTGCAGTTGCTGCACAGCTTTTTTGGAAAGACCAGTTAGGAGACCATTGGAGTAGTCCAGCCGACTGGAAATAAAAGCATGAATAAGTTTCTCTAAGTCTGGTCTGGACATGAGACCTCGGACTCTTGATACTTGATGAAGGTGATAAAACGCTGATTTAGTTATAGCCTTAATATGTCCAGAGAAGCTCAGGTCGGAGTCGATTACACCAAGATTTCTAATCTGGGTATTTGTCTTAATTCCCCTGGAGTCAAGCTGAGCAATAACATCCATTCTATCCCTCTTTTTGCCAAAGACAATAACTTCAGTCTTGTCTTTGTTTAGTTGCAGGAAGTTTAACTGCATCCAGTCGTTTACTTGTTCTAGGCACTGACAGAGTGAGTCCAGTGGCCGATGGTCACTAGGTGATAGGGCTAGGTAGATCAGGGTGTCATCAGCATAGTTATGATAGGCAATGTTGTTATTAGTGTTATTAAGTGTGACCTGACCCAGAGGGAGCATATATAGATTAAAGAGTAGTGGTCCTAAAATTGAGCTTTGGGGCACTCCACATGTCATGGTGATCCGCTTTGATTGGTAGTCCCTAATAGAGACAACATAGCCCCTGTCTTTGAGATAGGACTGGAACCAGCCAAGCACTGTGCCTGATGGTCACACCCAGTTTGCGAGTCTATCCAGAAGGATGTCGTTGTCCACTGTATCAAAAGCTGCACTGAGGTCAAGCATCATCTAGACAGATGATTTACCTGAATCAGTGTTGAGACGAATGTCATTTAATACCTTGATCAGTGCAGTCTCTGTACTGTGGTGCTGTCTAAAGCCTGGCTGAAGACCGTCCATGATGTTATTTGATAGAAATCCTTATGTTCTATATGGCCAGACTATGACTTTTGCAGAACCCCACTCATGTTCTGGTATGGCAGGCTGTTCTTCCCAATCACAGCCCTGCAGGTCACGCTGTCATGGCCCATGTGGACATTGAAATCCCCAAGCAGGATGTTGGAGCACCCTCTGAGCTGCTGTTCCCTGACCCAAAGGTGCTGACCCATTTGTCCCCAGGGGTTTATCCCAACATGCAGCCTCCACTTCTCAGCAGCAGAAGCAGAGTCCAAGGCCTCTCAATGTCTTTGGATGCAGAGCAGTGATGTTGAGGTGGGTTCAACAAGGTCCTGGAAAGAACCACTCCAGCTCCAGATAGATGATGTTCTTCGTTCCAAAGTCAAAGCCCCACCTTTGTCTGCCACACGATGCACAATGCACCAGAGCTCACGTTCCTCCTCCTGCAGGTGGTGGGTCCAGCCCCCCCCCCCCCCCCCCCCCCCAAATAATCAACTAAGATAATAAAATATAAAAAGAAAATTACAGGTGATGATGGCAGTGGAGCCATGGACCTCTTTCAGCTGCTAGGGTCTGTGTGTTCCTCTGTGGCTCCACCTGTTTCATTTCCTTTATCCAGAATGAAGCTCTCTTTACTGGCAGACATGAAGGTTATGGTGTAGACACTAAACTCAAATTCCCACAGTGCTTTGCGCAGAAGCCATGACGCACAGCGTAACGCATCCGGTAGGTGGTGAGTTTCGCTGTTTGATGTGGGATGTTTACCTTTCTTTCGCCCTGAGGCTGTAGAAAAAGCTCCCAGCGGAACCCGTGGCTGTCTCCCTGCTGCCAGAAGACAGCGGTACGTAAACTTCTCTCACTTCTCTCGCGTGTCTTTGTTTTACTATCCGTGCTTTGAAGTGGTTATTTTAGTCGCTTTTATTCGTGACGACAGCGAGTCAGGGTGGAGAACAAAGGTCACGGAGCTGATCTGATGTCTGAAGCTCGGTGAGATCTTATCACGCACCTCTGTGGGACCCGGTTAAGTTACCGCGAGCTAACTTTGGTTTAATTCATGCAGCATCCGGATGATGCTGTGAAGTTTATTCATCTCTTGATGCACAACATCCGAGTTTTATTTGCAGAAGTAAATATTTGAGCCCAAACAGAATTTAACAAGCGCAACACATGACGTGAGCAGTCCGTCATCTTTACTACCAATTAGCTGCTGCTGTCAGACTCAGCCCAACTCCCACGGGCACGTGTATACGGTGTACTACGGTAATAGCGTTAAAGTGCCATGGCTAGTGGGGACAAATCCGGGTACTTTGCTCCTAACCAATGATCAGACCCCCTGCAGGCGGGCGGGGGCTTTGTATGAGCGTTTGTATATTTTAAATATAAGTACCAGGTAAATGACGTCATTATAGGTAAATGATTGGCCACATGTAGGTTATGTAGGAAAGCTGTCATTTGTATTCACCTGTCAAAGGTAGGATGCGACCACCCGCGGAGGGTGACCCAATGCTCTTCTACCATATCGTTTCTGTACAAATTCCCCACAGGAACATATGCCCAGAGCAAGAATAAACAAATTAAAATGACCCAACGGCGTCATCCCAACAATAAAAAACAGCCAAAATACTTATTAAAGAAAATCACAGGGACTGAGGGAGATGGGTAAAAATGATCCCCCCCCTGAGGGGGCCCTGTTAACACCACTTCCTGTCCAATCAGGTCTGAAGAACAGGAAGACTGTTCCACTATCTCTGTTACAGTAAATACATCCAATAAATGCTAAATTGGCCAATTTTAGGGTAACAATACATCAGAAATAACATCATCCTGCGTTACACTCCGTCAGTAGAAAATAGTGCGTTTAACATGAATTTAGACCAGCATTCACATGTTCATATTAAACATTAAAGTCAACTTCAGATCTAAGTGTTTAGAGAGGAGTGAAGCGGGTGGAGAAGCTGACAGAACAGGTCCCAGTCTGATGGAGCGCGGGAAAGAAAACAAACGGATTCTTTTCTGCCTTCGATGCTAAAATGATCACGTTTCGTGTTCTACTGCGGGCTCAGAATAAGTTGCAGTTGCTGTGCCTCTAGCCGGGGAGGGACCTTGTGAGAGAGCAGGAAGTGACCCAGTGCTTTGACATCTCTGCGGGTGGAGCTTGAAAGTCCATTTGAGTCAACATTAAACATTAATATCAGCAGTGAAATCTCTGGTGACGCTCAGTCCTGTAAACCGACCCTTCTCCACTCATCTCGTCCAGCTCCAGCTTCCTCTGCATCGTGGTGCACTTGCGATGATAATCTTCAGCTTTACATTGTTGATTAGCGTTCAGGAGTGCAGAGTCGACGAGAGCAACACACCCACCCATGTCTGGCGCAACAGAAAACGGCTTCTACCCACTTAGGGAACTGTGATTATCGGACCCTTTACTTTACTCGATAATCCAACCTGCATGCACCCTTTTGTTTCCTGCTTTAGACTCACCTTGTGTACCTGTAAGGGAAAACAGAGACAGTCCACTGGAACCACTGTTTTCTGGGAACTCGATAAAAAAACAGGTCCTCAGACATGTTTGTAGTCTGATTAACGATTAACTTATTGGATTCATCAGGCTGGGTGGAGTGGGGATGGCGGGGGTCGTCAGTTTGTAACACTGTGACCTCACAACAGGAAGGTCACAGATTCAAATCCAGCCTTTCTCTGTGGAGTTACCATGTTGCCTGTTTCAGAAAAGACGCTTAAGTCTGACTCTGCTTCCTTTAACTTTGTTCCTCCTACAGCCGTCATGCATTTCATTCTGGAAACGCTCCAGGTCATCTTCCTGTCCTTCTGGTACAATTTGGAGTCGCTGTTCTTCTTCTTGGTACCCAGAAGGAAAAAGTCCGTCGCTGGGGAGGTGGTGTTGATCACAGGGTCGGGCAGCGGCATCGGTCGCCTAATGGCCCAGGAGTTTGCCGCTCTTGGTGCTGTGTTGGTGTTGTGGGACATAAATCACGAGGGGATGAAGGAAACGGCTCGGCTCGCCAAGAAAGAAGGAGCAAGCAGAGTCCACTGTTACGTCTGTGACTGCAGCGATAAAGCGGATGTTTACAAAGTCGCTGAGCAGGTGGGTTTCTAACGTGACGTCGTCAACAATAGCTCGTACAAACGAGGGCAAATACGCAGATGTTCTGCGGCGTTACAAGTAAATGTAACTCAGTCTCTCCGAGTCATTTTTACAAAATATAAAATGTAGCTTTGTTGTTTCTTTTCTCCGTGCAGGTGAAGCGGGAGGTGGGAGACGTCAGCATACTGGTGAACAACGCTGGAATTGTGACCGGAAAAAAGTTTATGGATGCTCCAGATTCCCTTATTGAAAAAACCATGGAGGTTAACACAATGGCTCACTTCTGGGTCAGTCGTCAACCAACCTGTTGTATTTGAGGCTAACTATAATGTGGGCGCTGTGCAGATGTCCCGGTGAACATGTCCTACAGTTAGAGCAGTAATGTGAACAGTACTACAAACGTCTGCTAGAACTTGTCTGATGTGATAATAGAGAAGAAGCCTTTACAGGTGATCCCTCGTTTATCGCGGTAGATGCGTTCCAGACCTGGCCGCGATAGGTGAAAATCCGCGAAGTAGGGACTCCCAGCATGCCCCTCGCGGGGATTCCCTCCACGTCGCACCTACGTCACAAACCGCGGCTATAAACGGAAGTCGCCTTTCCAGCTCACCACTCAGTCATCGTTTCTTCAGATTCACGATCAGAGTTTCCACCCTACCGATCAATCCAACGAACTATCAGCTCATAGTAAGTTATCTTACTTACTTCTGGAAAGCCCGGCATTTCCGTGTCACTTCGTTGACGCTCGAACGCTCGGGGGTTACCTAGATCAGCCGGCGTTTCACCGACGCTATCACTTCCGCGTCTGTGAAACCACGCTCCCTATTGAATTATCGTATGATCACATTCTCTTTTTGTGGGTAAAACTCAAGAAAAAAAAATTTTTTACTTGTTTTTTTTAGTTTTATTACAAAAAGTGCATTTTATGATGAAATTGATGAAAAAAAAACAAGAATTTCTTGATATTTCGCATAGAAAAATACCGCGAATCAGTGAAAAATACCGCAAATCTGCGAATTCCCCCTGAAAAATGCTCCAAAGAAAAAATCCGCGAGGCAGCGAATCCGCGATGAACGAACCGCAAAGTAGCGAGGGATTACTGTATTATATTTCTGTATTACTTTATAGAAAATAGATTGGTGCCCATCTCCAGCAAACATTAGACAAGCAGGGCACGCCCTGGGCAGGTGCCAGTCCACCACAGGGCAACACGGAGACACGCCCACACCTGAAGACCAGTCAACCTACCTGTCGTGTTTTTGGACTGAGGCAGGAGTGCCCAGAGAGAAATCGTGCACGCACAGACAGAACATTCAGGCTCCTCGCAGAAAGACGCCACGTTGGGTTCTGAACCGGGGGGTCTTCTCGCTGCAGGGCAGCAGTACTACCAGCTGTGCAGCCCTGTGGTTTGCATGTTTGTTTGAAAACTAACACAATCAAATGTTGCCTTTTAACAACAAATTATGAGAAGTTTTAAAATTAATGTCAACAGGACGAACAGAAATTTGACAAGCATCCATTGGTTATGTTAGTGCCAGGTAAGTAAAGTGTGACCACACCCCCGTGTAATTACATGAGGTGCTGGACCAAACTGACCAGGGGTAGGAGACGGGGATGGATGGATGGGAGACCAGGATGAGCCGCGTCCGTGATGGGTTAGGGAGGTGGGAGTTGGGAATGTCCATGAGGAGGTGAAGAGCTTTGGTCTTCCGCGGTGCTCCTGACGTTCCCCGATATGAGACCATATGTTTGTCTGCGCTATTGCTGAGTAGTTTTCTTGTTTTAAAATCGTTCCTCATGCCTTGTGTGGATGTTTTACTGTCTTGGGATTTTTTAATGACATAACACCATCTGTGTGGATTTAGATTTGTTTTCTTTTCTACCTAGACCTACAAGGCCTTTCTTCCTGCCATGATCGCCAACAACCACGGCCACCTCGTCAGCATTGCCAGCTCCGCTGGGCTCATAGGAGTCAATGGGTTGGCAGGTAAGTCTCGTTTCAGTCCTAAAAGTCACCAGGATCCTGATCCGCCTTTACCACGACTGGAAATCATTGCTCATAGAACAAATGACTATGGCCTTGTCTACTGTAGGGATGTCCCGATTGGTTCCCACTTATGGGCCATTCCCATCTGTACCGGGTCGGCCCGGGCCGGGTAGCCCCAGTCGGCCCCAGCCTGGCCCGACACATCCTTGCCTTAAGCCCATGTGGGCTGATTCTACCCACCAATCAGAGGCTTGCTCTAGTGGAAGGTGTGAATTTGCTGTCAGCAGTGGGTGTGTTGGCCCTGGTCGGCCTGAAGCAGACCCCCTCGAGAAGAGGACTGAGAATGAGCCTTGGTTGGCCCGGAAAAATACCAGGCCACCCAGATATGTAAACAACCTACGCTACCCGGCCCGGGCCGACCCGGTACAGATGGGAATGGCCCATTAGATTGCTTACATATCTTGGTGGCCTGCCTTTTTTCAGGGTGCAACGAGACTGTTTTTCAGCCCTCTTTCTGAGGTGGTCTGCTTCAGGCCGACCAGGGCCAACACACCCACTGCTGACAGCAAATTCACACCTTCCACTAGAGCAAGCCTCTGACTGGTGGGTAGAATCAGCCCACATGGGCTTAAGGCATGCTCAATTCATCATCATTCATTATCATGCTGATTACCTAGAAGCTGAAAATGTCTCTGACTGCATTCCTTGCATACCTAAGCAAGGATGTGTGGAATCAGCCGGGCCAGGCCGGGGGCGACTGGAGCTATCCGGGCAGGGCCGACCAGGTACAGATGGGAATGGCCCGTTAGTACCAGGGTCTCTTCACTTATCCGTATTGTTGGTATCTGGCTGTGCTCAGCTCCTCTTCCATATTCTCTTATCTGTAGTTTTACTCTAGCCATGTATGCTGCTAGCATGGCAGCTGTTTCCAATACAAAATGAAAACAGTTGCTTTGTTTGCTATTTGCATAAAAGTTATTCCTGCGCTTCCTCCTCTCTACGTTGACGTCATCATGCTATCTGTAAAGCTAGCAGTGAAGCAACTCAGACAGAAGAGACGTTTCCAGGAAACGGCCATGAGGTCAGAGGGATTATTGGACCGGTGATCAATCATTGCCATGGAGGAGATTATAGGCTTTCATCCCCTCGTGAGGCTGTTGGAGCTGTGGTACCTCTCACCCTCTCAACACTACGTCGCAGGTGCTGTGTCGAAGAGCTTCCGAATCTCGGCCAGCCTGTTTGAGTCGACGAGTTCTCGGATATCAAAGATGAATTGGACGTGAATAGAAATGCTGAATTATATTGTTACATGATGCGTTTTGTGGAAGTGGAGGAATTACATGACATTTTCGTTCTTTGTTAATAATAGAAACCTCACAGAACAACTTGAGCAAAGGTTTTCTTTATTGCGGCATACAGCTGAGGAACCGAGTGCACGCGCTGATTTCGAGCCAGTGATTGTGAAACGCTGAATCAGCTGATAAAGAAAGCCGTCTCTGATCTGGGGGCAGCTCCGGACCATCTAGAGATTATTGGACAAAGGAGGGTGCTTCAGAACTAGAGGAACACGATGGAAAGCCTGGTCGTGCTCTTAATAAGTCAGCAAATCAGGATCAGTGTTTTCAGACAGAGACTTCTTCAGATCTGCCGCAACAGCTTAACGAACAAGTCGCTCCCCAACCAAAGTCTGACTCCACCCGCATTTCCTGTTTGAAAAACACGCCGCAAGGAGGTGTTGCCTGGCGGGCCAGGAAGCAGGTCTGTGGCAGTCAATGACACAGACCCTCCAGCCCGCCCTTAGACTCCATCAGACACCAAGCCACTAACAAACACGTGTGTGCAGACACTTGGATGGAGACGAGGCAGCACTTCCTAGTGCCTGATAGCAACGCTAGCTCCTTTGCCTCAGAGCAGCCATTTGAGGCGGATGAGTTATTTCTACCTTCACCAGAGGGCAGAGGGTAGGGAAAAGGCGAGTGGCTCTGAGCTGTTGCCCGGGGCCACCGGTGCCGAGCCGTGAACCCTAGCTTGCTATTCCAACTCCACCTCGCTACGGAGGAGTGGCTTAGCCCAAGATTTGACTGCTGTTCCACCCCACAGTGCCAATGCCGCTGACATAATATGGTACCAGCTAACATCACAGGGTACCTCCTAGCCAAAAGCATGGTTGAATTTAGTAGTGTAGCATTTTAACCTGAAGAGGGCGCTACACTGGCAATTATAGGCTGAAATAAGATGCACTAAAATGCCTAAATAACAGCTACACATGTCTACAGCACTGTTAAAGGGACATTATGGAAGTTTGACAGCCAAAACATGTACAGAAATAATAAATGTCTTCTTCATACATTCTCCTGCAATGCCCTGGTCCTGTAGAATGAGCCCTGGCATTTTTACTGTGATTGCCTGTTTTTCTGTAAAATCACAGAAAAAGAGAGATGCTCGGGTCGAGCAGGCTGCTTCATGCGCGTTCACGCTCAGGCATCGCCCGTAGCATTTGCTATCCGTAGCTTTAGCAGCAGAGAGAGAGGCAGTGCCACTTTGTCGCTGTTCCTAACGCCTAGTGACAAAGCTAGCTACATTTCTGAGGACCCTTAGCTACTTTCTGTAGAACTTTCTTCTAGATATTTCCTGCAAATTAGCAACAAAATAGCCATTTTCGCTCCAAACCGTTCTTTGAACGTTGTTTCAGGTGTCATCAAGGATATAAATGTTACAGATACAAAGGACATCACTGGCGCTTTAGCTCACCTAGTAAGACGTCGGCCTCCCATGCAGAAGTCCTGGGTTTGATTCTGGGTGTGAACATCGTTTATTTAGAGTCTCTATTTTACATTAATGGTATTTTTTTTTTACAGTAAGATGCCCAAATTTTTATTTGAGACTCGCCGAACGGCATTGAATTCACAGATAAAAAAGATGTGGGTTCAACTTTCATTTTGGAAGAATTTTTCAAGCAAGGGAAGGGAATGATCTGAGCATGCAGGAGGACTGACCCATCTTAAACCTTTGTCGGCTGTGCTGAAGAGAAAGGTACAGAACCAAATTATTTAATTAATTAGCTGCGCGTTCTCCTGTCCTCCGTCCTCCGGGCCACACACACACACACACACACACACACACACACACAAGGGACTGTCTCAGCTGTTATTTTCGTTAAGGAGTGTGCACGTACAGCATGCGCGCCTCGTGCACGAGCCTACTATTGAAGCTGCCGTTACGCTTTTGGCCTGAGGGGACAATCACGAGCATAAACGTTCAAAAGTCCGTAAAGTCCCTTTAAACACTCATTTATTAGTTTATCTGCAAAACAAGTTGATCTGGGGGTGACTTGCTCTTTAGGCAGAGTTCTCCACATCTCTCTCCCCAGCTCTTGCCTCTGGCTCATCTGGAAGGATTTAGGAGAACCTGATTACGGAAGAAATGAAGACAATTAAAACTTGTTTGATATTAATAAATTATCTTTACATTTAGGGAAAAATAAATCCATGATATTTAGTAATAACAGATTGGAAAATGAATTCAAGGTAAAAATGAATAATATTGAAATAGAAAGGCTGCAGCGAATAAAATTTTTTTTGGGGGGATTGATGACTAGATCTGCTGGAAACCTCATATTAAACATATTAAATCTAAATTAGCCAAGAATATATCAGGGTTGAACAGAACAAGACACGTCTTAAATGAAAAATCTCTTTATTGTGCATTAATTTGACCATTTTTAAGTTACTGTGTGGAGGCATGGGGCAACACTTACAAAAGGGGCACATGTTTCAATCAGCAGTTTGAGAATTTGTTTATATCGGTGCATTTATAAACCACACACACCTTAACTGAGCTAACGGTGCGTGAGAAGAAGTCAGGTGCTGCTGCGTTCAAGTGTTTCAGGTTTTCTTTTATGAATTCGATTAAAAATAAAGGCACCCGGCCCGGCCCGTGTCCGAGGTAATTACACAGTCGCTGGCCCGAAGCCCGGCCCTCGGGCCGTCGGGCCGGGCCGGGCCGGCCCTCGGGCCTAGGGCTTCAGTGCAGGGCTCTAATACTAAGTGACTTAGCGGCTTTAGTTTCATTTCTTAAATTGTTCCAGAATTTGACTCCTTGGACACTAATGCTGAACTCCTCGACTTTAATTCTAAATGTTGTTTTTTTTAATTCATCTGTTCCTTTTGGATTATAACTGCTTTCATCCTACTCGCTTTCAAACTTTTGATATGTTCGTATATGTGCGAACCGATGCATACAACGTAAAATGTTGTTTGTCTTGAATAAGTAATAGATGTATAATTTTATTCCATTTTTTTTGTTCGAAAAAAATCAATAAAAAATAAAAACCTCAAATGATTCTTTCCATCATTCGACTCAAACCTCAGCGGAGGGGAACGTTGCTTTTTTCTCAGTGCTGGCTGGGCACTTCCTCCCTTGTCTGGTAGGGCTTGTGCTGACACTGAGAGGTCTGAAACATCTGGAGGAGGAACCCTTCAGACTTGAAACATCTGTAAAAATTCCATTATAATTTATCCAGTGGTTCAGGAGATGTTTTGTACACAGACACAAGACACAACACTGTACTTTCCAGCTGTAGATGGGAGACAATAGTACTTGAACAGAAACACGGATGGTTTTGTCTACATGTTTTAAACCTTGAATTTATCACCCTGCAGACTACTGTGCCAGTAAGTTTGCAGCTGTGGGATTTGCGGAGTCTGTGGGACTGGAGCTGCTGGCAACAGGAAAAGATGGGATCAAGACCACCATCGTCTGTCCCTACTTCATCAACACCGGAATGTTTGACGGATGTCAAACCAAGTAGGTCTCTTTCTGTTGACTTCTCGGGTCGGTAGCATTTACAGTCATTAAAGGGATCATTAATATTGGCTAGGATTAATAAAACTTGCCAAATAATCAAAATTTAGATTTATTTCCTAGTTTTCTAGCCAAGCAACCTTGGCTGATGTCTCACTGGTAGATTTTGTTTTTTTACTCAAAACAAGAAAATCTGGATCATATTTAAAAATATTTACTTTATTTTAAAGGGACTTTACGGAGTTTTGAATTTTTATGCTCGTGATTGCCCCCTCAGGCCAAAAGCGAAACGACAGCTTCAATAGTAGGCTCGTGCACGAGGCGCGCATACTGTACGTGCACACTCCTTAACGAAAATAACAGCTGAGACAGTCCCTTGTGTGTGTGTGTGTGTGGGGGGCCCGGAGGACAGAGGACAGGAGAACGCGCAGCTAATTAATTAAATAATTTGGTTCTGTACCTTTCTCTTCAGCACAGCCGACAAAGGTTTATGATGGGTCAGTCCTCCTGCATGCTCAGATCATTCCCTTCCCTTGCTTGAAAAATTGTTCCAAAATGAAAGTTGAACCCACATCTTTTTTTATCTGTGAATTCAATGCCGTTCAGCGAGTCTCAAATAAAAATTTGGGCATCTTACTGTAAAAAAATATACCATTAATGTAAAAATAAATTCTAAATAAATTATGTTCACAACCAGAGTCGAACCTGGTTCTTCTGCACGAGAGTCCGACGTCTTACTAGGTGAGCTAAAGCACCAGTGACTTTTGTATCTGTAACATTTATGTCCTTGATGACAGCTGAAACATCGTTCAAAGAACATTTTGGAGCGAAAATGGCTATTTTGTTGCTAATTAGCAGGAAATATCTAGAACAAAGTAGCTAAGGGTCCTCAGAAATGTAGCTAGCTTTGTCACTAGGCGTTAGGAACAGCGACAAAGTGGCACTGCCTCTCTCTCTGCTGCTAAAGCTACGGATAGCAAATGCTACGGGCGATGCCTGAGCGTGAACGCGCATGAAGCAGCCTGCTCGACCCGAGCAGCTCTCTTTTTCTGTGATTTTACAGAAAATCAGGCAATCACAGTAAAAATGCCAGGGCTCATTCTACAGGACCAGGGCATTGCAGGAGAATGTATGAAGAAGACATTTATTATTTCTATACACGTTTTGGCTGTCAAACTTCCATAATGTCCCTTTAAATAACGCAATTTTTTTGCTGAATTAAAAAAAAAATATTTAAAGAAGAAAATGTAAAAAAAAATAGTTTTTTTTAAACTGGATTAACTGGATTAATCCAGCTGTAGAAGTTGCCGTTCAGCTCGGTGTTTCTTTATTCCACAGGTGGCCACGGCTCCTGCCCATCCTGAATGCAGAGGATGTCGCCAAGAAGATAATCCATGCTGTTCTCACAGATCAGGTCTACCTGCTGCTGCCCAGGAGCATGTACACCATCACTGCTTTGAAGAAGTAAGTTTATTTCTTTATATTAGCGTGAAGACCAAACGGGTCTGCATGGAGGAGGAGAGTCGTTGCAGAGCGTCTCCTAGCTAGCAGAAAATGGAGAGAGAGCGCTTGCGTCGACGTTCAGCAAGATCTATCAGATGTTTCAGCTCTGATGAGGTTTACGTGACGCCGGTCCAGGGAGGCTCAAGCTGCAAATGCAGTTTTCTGCCCACAAGGAGCGGGGGAGGGGGGTCTGAGAGAACAATGCATTCACCCAAAATAAGGTCATCTTATCACTTCCTGATTCAAGAACATGATTAAAAACTATGACAAGGTAACTTATATTTACAACCAGGGGTAGACTGGGCTGTCTACTAGCTTATTACCAATACAAACTACCTTCTAACTGGATTTACTTCAGCAGGCCCCGCCCCCAAACAACCTGACCAATCAGCAGAATGAACTTTTTCACCTAGTTTGCAGTGAAATGCTGTTTCGTTTGCAGTTTTCTCTGTGAAAAAGAAACTTAATCACAGAAAAAAACTTCAAACCTGGGTCAGACCAGAGCAACCGAACTAGGAAAACACCTGGAGGGTTGGAACCTTTTATTTTTTTTACCTTTGTCCAGTTGTTTTAAAGCCTGCCGCTGCAGAATCGTCTGTCATATGGATGATTTTAATTTCTGATTCCTTCAACAGCATACTGCCCATGAAGCAAGGCCTGATGCTTGGCCAGTACCTGGGAGCGTTTAACCTCATGGACACATTCAGGGGACGCGCCAAAAAACTGGATTAAAACAATCAGAGAGGATGACTCCGATGAAGGCTGACAGCACAGTCAGCAGCCACTGCTCATTATTAGCTGCTCGTTAAAACACAAATACTTGAAGCGTGTTTAAGGGTCGATCCATTTCCAGATGAAGTCATCTGTAAATGTCAGCATGACGTTTCTCATTAAAACTAATTAATGCAAAATAAATGATTATCCAGTGAAGGGCACACCACCTTTAATTTTTATACAATTTCAGTGTTGCTGTGAGTTTTTTTAAATTTTTTATAGACTTCTTACATTTTTCCTGCCAAAACCAGCCAACATTTCATCTGCTGTTCCTTCTGTGCATCTATTACTTTATCTATTATTATCTTTATTAATATTACTATTTCAGAGATGTACTTGCTCCCATTAATCTCTGATGTGTTTAATAGTAAAACACTATTGGTTGAAGAAATTAAGGAGTTATTTTGCAAAGAAGATAAAAGACATTTATCAAAAACACCAGACTTTATATTTTACTGATATCACATGAAGTAAATAATAAAACGATGCAATATTTGGAAAAAATGTATAAAAATCTGTTTTTGCAAATGAAGTCTTCAAATAAACCCGAGCTGAGTAAAATCTTCCTCTAGACCTGCAGGAGGTCTAATCAACCTAAACTGTTTGATTTCTCTCAGAGAAAAGGGTTTTGTATTTGATCTTGAACCATTAGCCTTTCCTCTAGGCTGCCTTAGTGCCCTTGAGCCTCTGATGTTAAAACCGAAGATTTAAAAGCTGATTTAATAAAACGGTTTGAATGAGAACAGTTGTCTGTAGCTGAGATTGGTGGAGAATATTTAACGTGTTAAATATGAAACACTCAGATGAGACCACGGTTAGGTCTGAGCTCAGCTGACAGACGTCGGCTTCAGTCTTCGGTTTGGACGTAATCCACAGCTGAATCAGGAACCATGAAGCATCTTCTTGTTTTTCTGAATAACTTCACACATGTTCATGTTTCCCAGCTCGTCTGCAGCTCTCTACGATGACTGTGATGACGTTTGAATAAACCTGCTTCTGATCAGTGCTCGTTTGCTTTGATCCGACGTCTCAGAACAGGAAACGTTTATCAGGTTTCTGCAGGTTATTTATGGTTGTTGTTCAGATTGTTTACAAATGAATACATTAATTTGTTTTAATTTGCCTTAATAAAAATATGTAACTGCTAACCATAGATTAAAAACTCTTTTTAGATAGAAGACAGTAAAAACATTTGTGAGTTTTTGTTTGTGTCACGATGCTGTTTGGGTGTCTGTGTGGCTCCAAGACGGAGATCAAACTATTACATTTGATTAATAAATCAAATCAAACGGGCAAAACCTTGGGAAGCTCATGTATATGTGGCAAGGCGGAGGAACGAGGGCCCAGGCGGGATTCGATCCCTGGACTTCCGGGTGAGGGTCACGCGCTACCCAGTCAGCCAAACGGACACCCCCGTGGCCAACTAGCCACGGGGGTGTCAGGACGCTCACACTGTCACATATAGACAGTCACAACATAACAGGGGCGTGTCCACTTTTAAGGAAAGTGGAAGATGATCTTGCAAGATGGAAATCCTTACCGATATCACTCATGGGGAGAGTTGCTACAATTAAAATGATGGTCTTACCCAGAATAAATTACTTATTCTCGATGATCCCAAACAAACCTCCAGCTGACTGGTTTAAATCTCTGGACTCCTCAATTACTAAATTCCTTTGGCAGGATAAACCTCCACGAATTAGCTTAAAAACGCTTCAGAAGACCAAAGACAGAGGAGGACTGGATTTACCCAACTTTTATTATTATTTCTTAGCCAACAGGCTGCAATATATACCAAGATGGTTGCAAGATAACCCACTAGATGAGTCCTGGTTAGACATAGAACAGACACTTTGCAATACGATAGAGCTTTCAGACTTACCATTTATTAGCTCAAGTATAAGAAAACATGAAAGCTTCAAAAGTATTAGTATCAGCACCTCTCTGACAGCATGGTGGGAGTATCTTAAAATGACAGAGTCTTCACTAGTACCATGCAGACGCACACCTATCTGGAATAATCCTGATATTTTGCAAAAGAATAAAATGATGAACCTTCCGGACTGGAAAAATAAAGGAATCCTATACCTGGAACACATATATGAAGGATTGGACTTCATCCCATTTAATCAAATACTCTCCCAATTTGGAATGGATAAGAATAGCTTTTTAGAATATCACCAAATTAAATCTGTAGTCAAACAAAAATTTAAGCTCAATAAAATAGAATTACAAACACCACCAAGGGTATTAGACTTTTATAATCTCAAACCCCCCAAACTACTGTCTAAAGTATATAAGACACTGTCCAAAATAGACGATAGAATAGTAATCCCTATTGAAAAATGGGAGGTGGATCTATCAGTCAGCTTTGACCAGAACTTCTGGTCCCAAACTTGTTTAAAAACTTTTAAAATGATCAGAAACCCCAATTTACAATTAATTCAGTACAAAATTCTACACAGAGTACACTATACAGGTCATCGGATGTTCAAGATGGGGTTTGTGTCGTCTGACACCTGTACACACTGCACAAACAACATTCCTGACAATTACATTCATGCACTGTGGTCCTGCCCACCTGTCCAGGAATTTTGGGGTAGAGTATGTGAGGATCTGTCAAAATGTCTGAAATGTCATATCCCAACTTCCCCCTCTCTTTGTGTACTGGGGAAGCTGGACGATGTCCCGATTGCAACATCTTTGGTTCACGTGGTTCTGACTGCCATATGCATCGCTAAGAAAACTATCCTCTTGAATTGGAAAAATAGAGAAACTCTCTGCATTAACCAGTATAGAAATCTTTTGTTAGATCATATTGCACTTGATATAGCCTCTGCTTCCACTTCAGATGAATCTCTCTGGGCTCCTTTGATCGGTTCCATCACATAGCGATGATGGGGGATCATTGATTGTCCTGCGGGATGGTGTGGGTGAAGGGATGGAGGGTCTGAGTTTGGAGTATCCGAACGTTCCCTGGAGGTGGGTTCACTGGGGGGGTGTCTGGGACTGGGGGGCTGCTGCCTCCTTCTGGAGGTGCTTGGGTTGCCTCGGGGGGTGGACTGCTGGTGGTTGTGAGTGGGGCCCCTTGGGGGTCTTTGTGGTGGCCATGGGTCGCTGCCTGGCAGCTGCATTGCCCCTGAGCAGGTCTGGGTGGGGGCCTGGGGGCTCTGGGTGTGGGGGTGGCTGGCCCCGTGTGGGGATCTGGGCGGGGCCATGGGGGTCGGCTCCTGACATGTATGCTGCCGGGAAGAAGGCAAGAATATGCGGCAGTGCCTGGCCCGGGCTCAGGGGCCTCGGGTAGACCTTGGCTCCTCTGCTGTTCCATCACCGGGGAGAGGGATGTCCAGGAGGGGTAGGACCCAACCTTACCTAGATGTCCTATGTCTTATATATTCTGGAAGTTGTGCAAATGCAGGGATGGGAGTAGATGTTCTGCTGGGGTGGGGCTGGGTTGGTGCCCTCGGACTCCGTGAGATTCTGTAATGCTGCTGCTTTGGGCCCTGGCAAGATGGGCTGGGGTCTCCATGCCCTGGGTGGTATTTTTGGCAACAGAGGTGCCTATTGGGGCCAGTGGGGGAGCTGGCTCCCTGGAGGGCTTAAGTCCAACCAGCCATTCCTCCCCATCCCCACACATTTTTCTCCTCCTGCTCCTTCACATCATCACACAATCATGCACATAGGACCTTGGGGGGTGGACAAGTCAGGGAGTGCGGGTATGGACCCCATTTCCGCATTCCTGTGGCAACCTGCCCCCCAATTTTATTTGCACCTTAAATACTTCCACCAACGACATTCCACGCAAACACACACATAGGGCCTTGGGAGTGAACGCATTCAACTGCATTTGGCAGGGGGATTTTTCAGCCTCATCCCGAGTGCCGGTGCCCACTTCCAATTTAAACTGCACTTAGACACTGAGGGCTATGGGTGCAAGTGGGGTAGCGTGGTGGCATCAGCTGGCATAGTGCAGACAATGCCCGCACTGCCCGCTCACCACAGCCATGGAATACACCTCATCAACACTCACTAACACTACAGGTGCTGGCCAGTAAATTAGAATATCATCAAAAGGTTGAAAATATTTCAGTAATTCCATTCAAAACGTGAAACTTGTACATTATATTCATGCAATGCACACAGACCAATGTATTTCCGATGTTTATTACGTTTAATTTTGATATTTATAGGTGACAACCAATGAAAACATCAAATCTGGTATCTCAGAAAATTAGAATATTCTAAAGGCCAATGAAAAAATGTTTGTTTCTCTAATGTTGGCCAACTGAAAAGAATGAACATGAAAAGAATGTGCATGTATAGCACTCAATACTTAGTCGGGGCTCCTTTTGCCTCAATAACTGCAGTAATGCGGCGTGGCATGGACTCGATCAGTCTGTGGCACTGCTCAGGTGTTATGAGAGCCCAGGTTGCTCTGATAGTCGTCTTCAGCTCCTCTGCATTGTTGGGTCTAGCGTATTGCATCCTCCGCTTCACAATACCCCATAGATTTTCTATGGGGTTAAGGTCAGGCGAGTTTGCTGGCCAATCAAGGACAGGGATACCATGGTCCTTGAACCAGGTGCTGGTGGTTTTGGCACTGTGTGCAGGTGCCAAGTCCTGTTGAAAGGTGAAGTCTGCATCCCCATAAAGTTGGTCAGCAGCAGGAAGCATGAAGTGCTCTAAAACTTCCTGGTAGACGGCTGCATTGACCCTGGACCTCAGGAAACAGAGTGGGCCAACACCGGCAGATGACATGGCACCCCACACCATCACTGACGGTGGAAACTTTACACTGGACCTCATGCAACGTGGATTCTGTGCTTCTCCGCTCTTCCTCCAGACTCTGGGTCCTTGATTTCCAAAGGAAATGCAGAACTTGCTTTCATCAGAAAACATAACTTTGGACCACTCAGCATCAGTCCAGTCCTTTTTGTCCTTGGCCCAGGCGAGACGCTTCTTGCGCTGTTTCATGTTCAAGAGTGGCTTGACACACGGAATGCGACACCTGAATCCCATGTCTTTCATGAGTCTCCTCGTGGTGGTTCTTGAAGCGCTGACTCCAGCTGCAGTCCACTCTTTGTGGATCTCCCCCACATTTTTGAATGGGTTTGTCGTCACAATTCTCTGCAGGGTGCGGTTATCCCTAGAGCTTGTACACTTTTTTCTACCACATTTTTTCCGTCCCTTCGCCTGTCTGTTAATGTGCTTGGACACAGAGCTCTGCGAACAGCCAGCTTCTTTAGCAATCACCTTTTGTGTCTTGCCCTCCTTGTGCAAGGTGTCAATGATTGTCTTTTGGACAGCTGTTAAGTCAGAAGTCTTCCCCATGATTGTGGTGCCTTCAAAACAAGACTGAGGGACCTTTTAAAGGCCTTTGCAGGTGTTTTGAGTAAATCAGCTGATTAGAGTGGCAGCAGGTGTCTTCTATATTCAGCCTTTTCAGAATATTCTAATTTTTTGAGATACCAAATTTGGAGTTTTCATTAGTTGTCACTTATGAATATCAAATTTAAATGTAATGAACATTGGAAATACATTGGTCTGTGTGCATTGCATGAATATAATGTACAAGTTTCACGTTTTGAATGGAATTACTGAAATATTTTCAACCTTTTGATGATATTCTAATTTACTGGCCAGCACCTGTATATTGGAGCAGGCAGAGGGAGACCAGGGGTTTTAGCACACCACTGTTGTCTCTTGGCTTCCCGGGGCTGGAGGCTAGGAGGGGGAGCTGGCTGTCTGGTTGGGGTCTGGGGTGGTGGGATGCGATGGGATGGTTGGGCGGGGGTGCCTGCTCACCATCACCCCCAGCAGAAAGGGTCCTTGGTCTGCCTGAGTGTTCGTGGTTCCCGGGTCAGGGGGTTTAAAATTTTTGGTGTCTGCCTGATAAATCCTGGTGGCTGCCTGGTGGGATCTGGGTCCCTGCTGGGTCCCCGGCGGGGGTGGTCGCCCCTGGGTCCCGGGCTCGGCCGGCTGGGTGGTGGGAGGCTGTGGGCGGGCCCGTGGGCTTGCCGCTGATATCTCCCGGGGCTCTGCCGGCTGCTGATTGTGACCCCCCCGGGCGATCCTCTGTGCCTCTCGAGGGGGGCAGGGGCTTTTCTGGTTGCGGTCTCCTTGGGGTCCCTGTGCTCTGGGGCAGTGCCTGGATCTCTGGGACTTGGAGCTCCCTCCATCTCCTACACATCGTTGGGGGGGGGCGCAGATCTGTGGCCCCTCACACTCTCTATTGGATGCTCCTATAGAGAAACCTTACATAAACAAGCGCGTGTACACACACAGGTGCTCACATGACGCTCTCATAAGTATTGACTTAGGCACGTTCAACACGTCTTAAGGCTGTCGTTGCCACTAAATGCACTGTGATTTATTATTGTGTGATTGTTCAGTAAAACAATGTTGAATTTACATTCCTTCATCAAGTTGACGCAGTGATCTCTTGCTCCTGTTGTATTGTTGTGTGTCCCTTTTCTGCAGGTCTAGAAGCAGACTCTTGTTCATCATTGTTTTGCTGTTACAGCCTAATTAGAGCCAGCAAGGCTCAACTTGTTTTTCTCTAATGTTGTCAGCAGCAGAAATGTGACCTCAGAGAAAACATTTATCCTGACTGTTACTACACACACACACACACACACAGAGCTGGGATGCTGTATCCATCCGGACCTTAGATCAGAACATTCAACATTTAGTCCAAATTCAGTTTTAACTGTTAACTTCTGCAGTTTTCATCGCAGGGGAAACAACTACTTATCTGTGAACACAACACACACACAGTACAGGGCTGTTAACCTGTCCGTGTGTGTCTTTAGTTTTGTTATCAACCCACAGGTGGGGTTTGTAGATTAGCCAGAGTAAAACAGCAGCTTCTGCGAACCAACATCGTTCTTTCCAAGATGCTGACACAAAAGGTCCAAATGTTCAAAAGCAGTCCAGCAGGAAGAGAGCTGAAATGTTGATGTTATTTTGAGAGTAAAAAGGAAGGAAAGCATCACGAGAGTATGTGAACTACAGTGATGCTCTACGTCAGAAACCAAACGGATTTTTCCCCCCATAAGAGATCACCTGGACATCAGAGACACTTTAACGCGCTTCCTCACAGCTGAGAGCCATTTAAGAACTACAGAGAAAACCGCAAAACTCGGACCAATCCTTCCACTTTGGAGGAGAACCTGAAACAACATCTAGAACCTAGAGGTTTCCTGCGGGAGCTGAAGATTACGTCCATTCTACAAAGATTTTCCTAAATGAGTGATTAACTTATCCTGTTTAAGAAACACACGTCAAACATGCCGATTCTACTCCTGGTTAACTGGTTTATGGAGGTGCGTCTGAAAATGTGACCTCCTTGTGAATAAAAAACGTACACGACGTCCTCTCGGTATTACAAAAACATTTATAAAAGAATGAGAAGTGAGAGCAGCCACAGATGTTACATTTCTACAGGCAACAGAGAGGACACCTAACTCAGACAAATAATAGAAACCGTCTCAGAACCTAATCATTACCAACAACATGATGGGTCGTGTTATGTACATCTCAATTATTGTGTTGAATCATATCAATGTTAAACATTCATATGACAGAGGGATTTCCAGCTAAACAAGCCCAGAATTTGGATTCAGGTTCAAATTTCCTGTAACAGATGTCTGATGGACTTCACGAGGAAGCAGAAGCGTCCTTATTCAGTCTTAAAGGTTCGATCCTCCCGTGCAGCTCAGACACATCCTCCAGCCGAGTCGGGTCAGAAAACACGAATCTGGAGTTTTGTGTTCCTTTCGTCTTCCTGCATCACAGCAGCATTCCCGTTTAAACACATCCTCCAGATCCTGGACTGTTCAGACAAAGATGGTCTTTACCACACAGCGACATGCAGGGATACCATGTTCAGACACACCGTAAGCATCACAACACAGAAGGGCTTTTGCTGAGAACAAAACCATAACAGGTTTTTATTTTTGTTTTTATTTTTTTATAAACCTGGAAAACAGCTGGTTGAAACGATGGGTGGGTGTACCCGGTTTCAGGAGAGGCTCTACACGGGCACGAGGTGCATTCTGTCTGCTACTGTCTAGAGAAAGACACATAATAGTTCGTTTTCATCAGAGGCCGTCGTCAAACCTCCTGATCTTCATCAGACGCACATTCTTCTTCTCTTGTGTAGCCAAGTCCATCAGTTCATGTCCAGCTGCTGAGTGTGTACATGTATGCATCACGTATGTATGAACTGACGTTTGCTTGTGTTTACTTGTGTTCTTTAGTGGGGGCGAAGTAGAGCTCCATGGGTTTGTTGACCTTCCAGTACTTTTCACTGACCAGCTCCAGGGAGAAGGACCCGTTCAGAACCTGTGAACACACACGAACAGGTCAGACTGGTTCTAATGATTAACCGCTTCACATCATTTGTTGGATCCCTGGAGTCGTGTGGAGATCCTCCTGATTCCCTATCGCTCCAACCTTTGACCTGAGACAGTCCAGGCATGTTGGCTCACCTCTGGCCTGGATGTGTCTGATTAAAGACGATTTATTTCTCTGCCTGGAGCTTTTGTTTACAACACAAACTAAAGGAGAGTTTACCGTCTTGGAGTCCAAGTGGACCCTGCTGCTGGGACTAGGTACCGAAACCCGGTATTACTTTAGTACCGGCTGAAAACATTCAGTAGGTACCGCAATTAAAAAATCATTCCCCGATGCTAAAATTCACTAAGATGTCTGTTAAAGAGCTGCAAAGCTCTGCTTTTATACGCATACTTAATATCGAGCTTTTGGTACTTATATTTTTAAGTCTAACTTTGAATGTAGTTTTTGTTTCTTAAACTAATCGAAAACACAAAAAACACTAGACTGTCTCTTTCTTTTATAGCTAAATAAAATGTAAAGGTGCCGGCCCCATCAGCCGGACACCAACCGGACCCGGGCCGCATTCCAAACCCGCTCACAGGGTGGGAACATTTAACAGTAATCACAACGACCTGTGCATGTCAGCGGGATGCTTTTAGGTGACAGAGAGGAGAGGACATGGTTCATTCTAACCAGATGGATGAGCTAACAGCTAGGCTGAAGGAGTCGACTAAACAACACTAAAATATCACAGCAGTTATTTGAAACGTGATTTTTATACAGCTTTAATCTGGTAAAAATGTCCTGTTGCTCCAGCAGGAGGCGCTGCAGGCTGCTGCCGTTCAGCTGCTGAGCAATCCAGAAACCAGTTAATGTTTCACAAAGGAGTTACTGGTTGCAACTGGTAGCTTCAGCTCCTAACTAAAATCAGATTATAGTGATAGGATTAGTTAGTAATGATGTCATCTACGCTGACCTGAACAAACTGCTGTTTTTATCTGAGGAATGGCGGTTAAACAGCTGGAAAACCCAGAATCAACACATTTATAAACTACTGTGTGATGCTAGCGGCAGACCTGCAAACCTTGTCAATATTTTGGAGTACCACTTGTGTGGCGTTTTGTTCAGAATCACAATCTGAATCAGAAAAACTTCATTTACCCCCGAGGGGCAATTAAAAAACATAACAGCAGAGCAGCATGACGTTGGACATTCGAACACTGAATAAATAGGCAATAAGAAAGTAATAAAGCAGCAAGATGGATAAAATCAGTAAAATATGCAAAAATCACTGAGTAAGTGAATAAAGTGACGAAAGTGTCGTTTGTATAAAAATTAAATATACGGAGAGCCCAAGGAGAGGGTTTATTGGCTCAGAAATTGGTCTCAACCCGGAAGTACCAAAAATTGCAGTTCCACCCTCATCCACTAGGGGCTGGTGTCAGAAGCGAGCAAATCCTCATTGACTCCCATGTTAAAAATACCAATTTCACAGCAGAAATAAACATGTTTACAGCCTGGTACCAAAACATGTTTTTGGTTTAAATGATCTAGTTTACAATCATGACAACTCTGAGGGGGGTGAATTTTTGTCTCACTCTTCTGTTTAAGTGTATTAAAAGCCTAAAATTCTGTATAATTAATGAGCATCAGACCCACGTGACCACAGAGCTAGCTCCGCGGAAATAATAATAATAATGCATTGAACTTATATAGCGCTTTTCAAGACCCCCAAAGACGCTTTCACACACACTCACATTCACACACTGCTAGTGATGCAAAGCTACTTCAGGGTTTCCCTTACATAGGCGTAGCCGAGGCTGGCCGCCACGGCTGAAATCCCACCGCCACGCCTACAAGATCCCAAGTTTTTTTTTTTTTAGCTGTTTCTCGAAGAAGCAGCGGGAACTACTATGTTGTCGCTTGTGATCACAGCCGGCGGGCAGCAAGGAGGAGCAGGCAGGGCAAGGTGCAGTTACAGCTTAAGTTACGGAGTTTAAAATTAGAAAGGTAGCAGTGGATATAATGCTTTGTGGTTTACATGTTTCAGTAGCATTAAGATAAATGAGTGTTGACGATCTTGACAGGGTTTCCTCCAGTGCTTACTAGGCCAGGTTTTCCTCCCCCCACCAGGCTAAGCATCACTTATTCATGTAAAATTTATTTATTTTTTCATGTCTGACTTTAACCGCATCTAATACTGTATTACGGCGTGAGCGCAACAGCGACAACTTAAGATCGATGCATGAGCAGCCTGAGAGGTCGAGTGTTTCATCTGAACCCTTAAAACCTCCAGCAGGCTACACTGCACTATTGACGAGTTAGCGCGCTGCGCTAACAACTTAGCGACGTGACATGTCTCGGAGAAAGCGTAAAAACACGTTGGACGTTTCTTCTGAAGCGGGGAAATAACACCTCTTCTTAAGCCGAGCACGACGTCGCCCCGGCTCGTTCACCCTCTGCCGAGCCGGACTGAGCTCGATAACATTGACCCAGCACAGCCACTGGGTCGTTGGAGCTGCCCCGTGACTGCCTGATGGAAAACCAGCGGGTTTCATCAGACTCGTAGTTTCTTGTTTTTGCTGGGGACCCCCTGTATTTTACCGCTCCCTCCTGCAGTCTTCCCCTATTAACATTTAAAATGATTCTGTAAATTCGTGTATCAATAGAAAATATCTCTGCCTCTGCCAGCTGCAGTAAATGTAGTCTCCAAATAATAAATAAGAGGTGCATTCATCTGTCTATCTCCTTTGATCCGCATTAGTGATGTTCTCAGCACCAGAACAGTGAAGCAAAGAAAGATTCTTGAGTTTGTTAGTGATTTTATTTATTAGGTGCATCTAACCTGTTCTATTTTTCTCTGAAATGAGATAAATCAGTGCTTCTATGGGTTGTCTCCAATCTGCACTGGAAAATTTTACTTTATTTAGAGACGTGTCATAATTTCTCCCCAAGCCCCCCCATCCCCCCCTCTGACTCAGAAGCTCTGGTGTTGTGCACAGTTAACTCTGGTTGTAGCTAGGTTGCTACCTCTGTTCTTCCTGTTTTACTTTATTCATTTATTGTTGTTGTTTGAGTAGTACAAAACTGAAGTTGGTTCCCTTTTTACTTTCCAATTTGGAAAGATCCTTTCCAACTAATTTTTCCACTTCCTGCATCTTTAATCTGCTCTAATTATAAAATGTTTTATTTCATGGGTGACCAATATTAACACCAGGAATAAAATGTGTTCACGAGTGAGGGAAAGCTGGAGCGTGAGATCGATAGGCGGATAGGTGCTGCATCTGCAGTGATGCGGGCGTTGTACCGGTCTGTCGTGGTGAAGAGAGAGCTGAGTCAGAAGGCGAAGCTCTCGATTTACCGGTCGATCTACGTTCCTGCCCTCACCTATGGTCATGAGCTTTGGGTAGAGACCGAAAGAACGAGATTGTGGATACAAGCGGCCGAAATGAGTTTTCTTAGCAGAGTGGCTGGGCTCTCCCTTACAGATAGGGTGAGAAGCTTGGTCATCTGGGAGGGGCTTAGGGTAGATCCGCTGCTCCTCAACATTGAGAGGAGCCAGTTGAGGTGGCTCGGACATCTGGTCAGGATGACGCCTCCCTGGTGAGGTTTTCTGAGCACTTCCAACCGGGAGGAGACCCAAAGGTAGACCCAGGACACGCTGGAGGGACGTTGTCTCTCACCTAGCCAGGGAACGCCTTGGGATTCCCCCGGAAGTAGCTGGGGAGAGGGAAATCTGGGCCTCTCGACTTAGGCTGCTGCCCCCGCGACCCAACTCCGTATAAGCGAAAAAATGGATGGATGGACAAATAAATAATAAATATGGAGGAGAGACCAGACTGATGTTAAAGCTTTTGAACTAAACTGCGGTAAAGTGTGGGTGTTTAACCAGCTCATTAGAAAAGGTGTGGGTGTTAAATCCCCCATGGGTGCGACGGCCATGCCGGTCCGGTCACACCGACACACCCACTCACGGCAAACTGTGTACTTGCTACACAAAATGTGTACAGGTTGGCAGGTCTGTAGCGGTGACACAGGTGGTAGATGGTACTCACAGTGAACTGGTTTCCAGCAGTAGGGATGTAGATGGTATACTGTTTCTCTGACGCTGCCTCCACATTAACGGGATTGGCCTCCACGTTTCTTCTCAGTTCTTCCAGAGCCAGTCGGACAGCCAGGTATTTAGACAGGTGGTCCACCGTCGCGTTGCCAGATGTCTTAATGTAGCGAGGAACAAACTCAACACTGCAATAGGAAAATGACGACAACGGGCAGGAAAATGAACAAAGGTGAGATCGTGACCAATTCTAATGTTCTCTTCAGACAGGTGATGTCTGTGATGTCAACAATCCTCCATCTTTGACGTGGGAGACTTGAACCGTTATCATCTAAAGCTGAGAAATGATGAGACGTTCTGATCCAATCTGTGGGACAATGTTAATATCAGTGGCAGACCTGATCATCTCTCCGGTCACGGTTTCCTAACAAACAGCCTTTTAGCCACATTTACGCTCGGGCCAGCTCGAATCTCGGGATGGGTAAGGGTGGTTTTCGATAGGGCTGAACGATTAATTGCATATGCAATTAAATTGCGATCTGACAAAAGGAGATTTTCTAATCGCAAAGGCTGCAATTTGACTGGCAGTGAGTGGTTAGCACAATGCTAATATACATTGAAAAACCCATAGGAATGCTAATGCCGCTGATTACATTCTTACAAATTACGAATTAGGAACGTGCCAAATTATCACATTTGGAGTCTAATAAAAGTAAAAACAATCAAGTAAGTACAGACAGATATTTTAGTAAAGCTAGAAAACTGCAAGAGACTAACTCCACTGGCTAGCAGCTATGAATGAAATTGAACTACGGAAACTCTGCACGGACAAAACGTCAAAAACTCTCAAATCAAAATACTTCAATTAACGGGACACACTTCCTGCAAATCAGTTTTCACAATTGATGCTAATACCTATGGTCCTTCAAAGGATGTGCTCCTGGCTGCAAAGCATTGCACCTTAAAATACTAAATTTGTGTTTATGTAGACAAATAAACTTGTTGATAGGACATGTAGATAAATATGTAGATATATAAACTTGTTTATATTCAGTACAAGTTACATAGACTTTTTTTTTTGCTTCCATTAGTTGAAAAATGAGAAAAGCCCCTTGAGAAAATAATCCTGAATTAAATCGCGATTGCAATATTGAAGAGAAAAAAATCGCAATTAGATTATTTTCCAAAATCGTTCAGCCCTAGTTTTTGAAGGGCACTACTCAGCCTGAAACAGCTCTGTACATCCTGGGTTAAGTCAGCTCTGAGTCTAGTTGTGTCTCCCTGCCAGCTCACGCATGGACGGAGACGTTTTGCCCTCATACGTCTCCGCCGCCTGGGGAGTGTTGCAAAGCAATTCCCCGCCCGGACTACAGAGGGCGTAGCGCTGCTCTGTGGTATCCTGTCATGTATCCAATAGTGTGTTTATACTGCGTTTTTGTATTTAAGAGACTTTTTAACTCATTCACTGCCAGCGTTTTCACTGTTTTTTTTAAGACTCACAGAACGTTGTGCGCTAGGATGATGTCAACGCCAAAACAACCAAAACAAAGCGAACACTCACTTCTTACATCAGGAAGAATCCATGTGTTTCGAGTGTTATCCGTTCTTTCATAATCCGTTGTTGAATTGTGACCGGCAGAAGCTTTTCTGGTTCGCTCCTCACTTTTTTGACAGCAGCTGCCCAAAACGATCTCCTAACACAAGGATTTTCTACTTCCTGGTCACGTGACATGTGACGTATGTGGATGATCGGCTTTAGAGCTGAGATGTTTGTTCTCACGGTGCGGGGGCTCGTTCTGATGCCCACAGTAAAAAAAGCAGTGAATGAATTAACAGACAAATTTGTCCCTCATCCTCTTCATGAGCTCGCCACCGCTAAACCCACGTTTACAGCGGCGTCCATCACAATCTTGCGTTCTCCGTCTCGATGAACAGACGTTTAGAAAAGAGAGCTCCACTCAGTCCGTCCTTGCGAGGGCTCTCCAGCAGACTCACAAGGACAGATAATGGCGTTGCGTGTGGCCATTCCAACGCAAACAGAGAAGTATAAATCTAGGCTTTAGGAGGGACACCATGGTCCTATCAGCTCCTCTCTAGCCCCGCCCACATGCTCGGAGACATCTACGTGCCTGAGACGGCTGCTTAAACTAAACCTGGCTGCGCCAAACTGACGTAAACGGGCTGTAAGCATGGCGTGTCTCCTGTACCTGTTGTGACCGTCGTCCTTCTCCATCAGGGTGGGATGAGGTCTAAACACCAGCTCTATTTCACTGGCACCTCCATCGATCACCGAGTCTGCACCCCCGTTCTCAGCGGTGTTGTCCATGTCCAAACCGCTGTCATCACTTGTCTTTGTGCGTTTGATGCTGGGACCTGCCTCCTAGGGAGCCAAAACACAAGCATCTAAAGTCCAGGATATGATGACCTTTGACCCAGCGGTAACAGCATGCCAGTGACGGCACCGGGACACACCTGGTTACTGTGGACGGACGCATTGCTGCAGTGGGAGGAGTCTCCGTTGTCCTCTGCCCCGCTGCCATTCTCGATGGTGTGTCTCTTCCCACGCTGCAGTCTGACAAGGGAAGCAGGTCTAGTTCAGCCAGCTGAGGGTTTTCAGCGACGTCGCTGTGGCGTCGGTGTGCTCACCTGGTCATGGCCTGTATCTTCAGCCCCTCCTCTATACTGTGGGACAAGGCCTGCTGATTGTTGTGTTTGCTGATGCGAGCCAAAACTCTCTCCTGGTGGGCTTCGTACTCATCACGACTGGGATAAATCTTACCTGAAAGTCAGAAGTTAACTCTACAGAAACATTCCTCTGCGATTTCCACACAGAAGGCATGGAAACGACTGAAGCTGCGTTCAGGGCCACGAGCAACGGGCTGCTAAAAAATAAAAATAAAAACTAAGAATGCTTTGATGTCCGTTTCACATGCAGTAAAAATGTTAAGAATAAGAGATCAGAGGTTTTTGATAGCTCCATGGGTCGGTGACATCATCACCACTCGCCAAACATCCAAAAACATGCTGTGAGGTTTTAAACATGTTTGATGTGTAACTTGCAGGTTTTCCCTCCTAAACTGGCACATGATAGCATAATCTTTACAGATTAAATACTTATAAATCAGCATAGTCCCAAAAAAACACAGCTGAAACACAGCTGCACCACAGCCCAACACTGTGAGTGTTCGCTAACGTTAAAACTGGCGGTTTTCGGTGGTTACTTACTAATCAGGGCATCAAAATTTGGATCTGGACGCAGTGACCTCTTAGAAACGAGCTTCTTACGACAGGTCGGACACTCTTTATTACTGCAGGGAGAAGAGACACTATTAGAAATATTATCCCCAAACCACTGGTGTCAGTTTCCCAAAAAGAGGCTAGCTTTTATAACTTATTACAATAATATATTGTTGGCATCATCAGCACCTCCAAATCTGAGACCATGGTTCTCGACCGGAAAAGGGTGGCTTGCCAACTCCGCGTCGGGGGAGAGGTCCTACCTCAAGTGGAGGAGTTGAAGTATCTCAGGGTCTTGTTCACGAGTGAGGGTAGGAGGGATCGGGAGATCGACAGGCGGATTGGTTCGGCGTCTGCAGTGATGCGGACGCTGAGCCGATCTGTCGTGGGGAAGAGGGAGCTGAGCCAGAAAGCCAGGCTCTCGATTTACCGGTCGATCTACGTCCCAATCCTCACCTATGGTCATGAGCTTTGGGTAATGACCGAAAGAACGAGATCGCGGATACAAGCGGCCGAAATGAGTTTCCTCCGTAGGGTGGCCGGGCTCAGCCTTAGAGATAGGGTGAGGAGCTCGGACATTCGGGAGGGACTCGGAGTAGAACCGCTGCTCCTCCGGATCGAAAGCAGTCAGTTGAGGTGGTTTGGGCATCTGGTCAGGAAGCCTCCTGGACGCCTCCCCGGGGAGGTGTTTCGGGCATGTCCTGCTGGCAGAAGGCCCCCGGGTCGACCCAGGACACGTTGGAGAGGTTACATCTCCAATCTGGTCCAGGAACGCCTTGGGGTCCTGCCGGAGGAGCTGGTGGAGGTGGCCGGGGAGAGGACGGTCTGGAGCTCCCTAGTTGGGATGCTGCCCCCGCGACCCGGATAAGCGGAGGAAGACGACGACGGCATCATGGGTTCCAATGCAGTTGGAGCTTGAACCATAAGTGACAGGTTTTCTTTCGTGAGGTGACTTTCACACCTTCATGCGTTCACTGGGTGACTGTTTGAAAGCTGGAAGTATTTCTGCTGATGGTGACATTTCTTCCTAAACAAATTCAGATTATGTGACGAGTAAACGAGGGACGGATTATATGTGCCAACGTGAATTAGTCTGAACGACGCCCCAGAGTAACATCAGAATGACAGAAGCCTTTCGTGTCTCCTAAAGAAGGTCTGACAGGAGATCTGATGATCTCTACAGCGGCAATGTGAACCTGGAGCTACCGGCTTCTGCATGAAGAAAACTCACCCGGATCTCAAAGCTGTGATGATGCAATCAGCACAGAAACGGTGCAGACATTCTTTGGTAGTCATCGTGTTCTTCAGCATGTCCAGACAGATGGGACACATAAGTTCACTGTGCAAGGACCGGGGAGACACAGCTATCTCTAATCCATCCGTTATAGCCTCCTGTAACACACACACACACACACACACACACACACACACGATGTAGGTCGATGACGAAACATTTGCAAACTGTTGTACGGATGTCCTAAAGGTCAAAGGTAAAGACGCCTTTGTTCTGGGCAATGGTGGAAAAGGAGCCAAGTGCCCACCCCCTAACTGGAGGGTTGCAGGTTCAAGCCCCATCTGTTGCAGTCGTCGTGTCCTTGGGCGAGACACTTAACCCACATTGCCTGCTGGTGGTGGTCGGAGGGAGATGCCTGTGTACGGTAGTCTCGCCTCTGTCAGTGCGCCCCAGGGCAGCTGTGTAGCTCATCCCCACCAGCGTGAAAATTTGTGTGTGAATGTGTAAATGACTGGTTGTGTTGTAAAGTGCCTTGGGGGGTTGCAGAGCCCTAGAAGGTAGAGCTGCTTGATTATGGCTAAAATTATGATAATTATTTGGACTGAAATGGAGATCTGGATTATTTAACACAATCCTTAACGACACAAACACTCCATCTACCGGCACAAAACAGATCTACGGTGCAAAGATTAGGAATATAAAAATAAAGACCAAAACATAAACATCTATGTCACAGTGAGCTTCCACAACCTGCTGCATAATAATTGTGTAGTCCTGTGCAGAGGCGTCGCAGGGGTGTGTGCAGCAGCACGATCCAACGTGTCGCTCAGATAGATGAACTGTTGTTATTTACCAACCCGAGAAATGGGAGGTGTGGCATGAGACAGCGTGAAGGCTTGGCAGCCCTGATCAAATAAGTATCCACTCCAGATGTGGCTCGCTGTAAACAGCTGGTTTTGTAAGCAAGTGAGCTCCACTGAACAGGGTTTTGATTAGTCAGTCGATGTCAGCGATCATGCATATGATTCCCTTTCTTAATGTCCAGAACGACGGTCCGGTGTTTTGCTGGTTTGCTGGAATATCGATGACAAAGGTCTACAGAAAGTTGTCCAGGCTACCAGAAACGTCACTAGATTGTTTGCTAGGTACATTTGGGGGGAAAAAAAGGCACGAAGAGGGTCTCAAAATGTTTAAAATACAGCAAAAAAATGAGTGAGCTTGATTTGCAGCTCGGAGCAGCGAGAGTAAAACACGAGGGTGGAGCAAATAATCCATTCATTTTGTTTTTATGATTGTTCAAAACTCAAATCGTAACTGATAAAAATGAATCAAGCCCAGCTGGAAGGTGCTTATGTGAAAAAAGGATCACCTTCTCTTGTGCAAATAATTTCACTAAATACAGGAGACACCTATTAGACCTATTAGGGCTAATTAACAGTGAACACTAATGGAGATGGCATCGTCTCACACTGGTCATGGACACTGTCCTTCACAATAATCGTAACTGCATGTAGGATAACACGGCTGCTGTCTGAACACCACATACACATGAATGGGTCTGGTTTATGTGCTTCCAGCCCAAACGGACTCCTTCCAGGGTGCACGCTGTGCTGTAAAGAGCAAACTCAGCCACAGAGACGCGAGAGGAGAAAAGAGAGAGAATACCTGTAGTATAATGAATAGTTTCTATGGTTTTAGGAGGTAACAGTTTGGACAGTTAATGCAGATCAAAAGTTAGCACGCATGACATCATCACATCAAGATAATCATCGGCCATTTCTCAATATAAGTACTTTTCTGAACTTGTGTGCTCGTAAAACGTCATCGGCGTAAATCAAGTACTGTCCAAATCCTAAGTAAGTATCATGGCAACCATGATCAAAGTTCCCAGATGTGTTCTTGCACCACCCATTGTGCTGAGGATGCATTAAAGAGCAAATTGCAGGTTAAGAGACTCCCATGAACCAATGTTTAGAGAGACATAATAGAAACTCGTTTTAAATACTTTTTTATACAAACATAAATTATTTAGGCTTTTAGAATCATTTTTGTGAGAAAAAAGTTGGGGTTTTTTTTTTGGGCCGAACCATGCGACGTCAGCTGAGGGAGTCCTGTTAGCTTAATCCAGAGAAAAATACGGATTCTAATGCGGCTCCGACACAGAGGAAACTTTAAATGATTATAATTTGACTTCTGAAGGACCAAAACCATAAAGTTATGAGTTTGCTGCTCGCCCCAGAGAGCAGAGACGAACCAGAGGGAGAAACCATTGGCCAAATCAGAGAGATTGAGGAGAAGCAGCGGGGGAGCAGCAGGTGAGTTAACGATGCTAGCTTAAACGCGTGTGCTAACATCACGGTGTTGTACAGATTACTATCGTGTACCACACAGTTAAAGTAGTACGGCTCAGTTAATTCAATACTAATACTAATGAGCGTCTGTCAGCTGTCTCATACTCGTTAATATCCGTTCATGTAACGTAGTTTAGCTCTTAGTGAGAGGGAGAGAGATGCCTGTCATCCGGTTCTGGAACTCCTGCGGGCTTCTGTGAGCTGGATCCTTTCCTGGATGTCTGCGGCGGTTCTGATCCAGTTCCGACCCGGAAACCAGCTCTACTGGCCTGCTGAGCGGCTCCTCGTCTTGTGGTCGGTTCTGACCTGGTTCTGATCTCCAGAAATCCGCATTTAATTTTTTAAACACCACCACGAGTCTCTGGAGTCCAGCGCAGACCTCCCTGTCCCGGTACCGACCGATGTGGGCAACAGAAGTCCGTCTTTCAGCTGTACAAAACGCCCTCAGGCACGGAGATAGAGGCGTTGTTTCTCTTATCTGGAAACCCGTGGACTCGATGTCCAGACAGGCTGGAGTTGGTACAGCCTTCACAAACAATAGTTTATCAAAAGGAACACAATCCAACACTAGTAAACACACACACTGACTGGATCACATGACCTCTCTACCCTAAAACTAGCCACTCTCCACACTGAGCTGAGGAAGCACCGAGCTTCTAACTCCCCTTGGTTACGTCAGAGGTTCAGATTTAGAAAAAAAAAGAGCCTTTTCAGATACTTTGCTAAGGCCACTTTTACTAGAAAAACTCTGTTGTTATGTATTTACAACAAAATATCCACAATAAGCATTTCAAATAGTATTTTTTGTTTAGCGTTTTATATGAATCAGATTTTTTTTAACCTGCAATTAGCTTTTTAACACATTAATCCCCAAATAGATTTGGGCAAGCAAGGTACTACCCGTATACTATCAGTTTACCTCCAATATCCGCCATACTGATGTTACTGAGACATTACCTGTGGTGTTCTCTGTAGTTCGTACAGACTCAGCTCCCAGGTCTTACTGAGGGATTGAACACCATTGGTCTGAACCGTCTGAGTCATGATGGTAACACTGGAAAGGAGAAACAAAACTTTATATAGCAAGAACCCCCCCCCCACACACACACACACACACACACACACACTCACACACATAGATATATACAAAGCCAGATATTTCATAATTTATTTGTTATCAGAATAATATATTAATCCCGATAGAAATTATATATAGAAGAGTAGTTGGCTCAAGACAATAAAATAAATATAGAAAAGATGGTGCATAAAACTAAACAGTGGAATTTAACGTGTGAATTGCAGCCGGCAGAAATAATTTTCGGTATCAGCGGAGCATCTAACAGTTTGCAGTGTCCTCCAGCTAAACATGCTTCTGCAATTGGCCAGCTCATCATGAAGTGGGTGAGAAGTGCTGTCCATGACGGCCCTGATCTTGTGCAACATGTGTCTCTCTGTCACCACCCTCAGCATAATTGTGATGATTATGTGTTACAGCTGATGAAAACCCCAAAATTCATAATCTCAAACAATTAGACTATTGTGGAAAGGTTCAATATTCTAGACCTAAAGTGTCACACTCTAAAATGCTAATGAATCCAGAACACATGCAAAGGGTTCCTGAGCCTTTAGATGGTTTTTCAGTCTAAGCTGGATTAGTGGCATACATTGACTTGCATCATATTCTTATTTACCGGTTTCAGCTGGAACAGTTTTTTTTTTTGCCTCAAACACACCTGAATCTATCTTACCCGTTCAGCGTCTCCAGGTTCTGCCTTCAGATCAGGTGTTTAGGAACAGAGAAGCATTTGGAATATGAAGGAAGGACAGTGGTCCTAAAGGATTGCGAGGGTCACAAACTACATCTGGACTCAGCAGAGAACCCTTTAGTTCAGGTCAGGACAGGTTTAGAACTACAGCTAGTCAAGATAAAGACGATTCAAGTGTCCTACAAGCCGATTTTTCCACGATGACTATGTGGACAAATTACTACAGTCTCCTGGGTAGAATAAGTCCAAACGTAAACCCACAGCAGACACTGACCTCTACGTTTAGCTTCTCTGCACCGCAGCCATCAATCAGTGTCAACAAACAAACCACAGCGGAGAAAAAGGGAGACAAATGAGCTACAGTCCGGGTGACGTCCTGGTAAATGCTGGTGTGGAAGTATCAGACCCGGTCCATTTACGCTGGTTTATCCAGAACCATGCACGCGCGCACAGCCCAGGTAAGCTAGCTGGCTGCTATAGCTATTCTCTAACGTTAAACAGGGGAAAACACTCGAATTTTAACATCCCAGCTGTCAGCAGGTAACTAAGAATAAACAGGAGAGGAAACGATGTGGTTCGGTTCCGTTTACATACAATACCGAACCACCAACGTGCAGAAGTAAACGTAATTTCTGGCTTTAACAGAAAACAACAACAAAGAGAAGTCGCACGAATCCTCCGAAAAAAGCTCCGCGCATTTTTAAGAATTCCTCATTTTTAACAAACATGAACTCGTCTATAAAGGAAAACCGATGCACGTGTTTAAACATAAACGTACAAATACCACAGCTTACATGAAATATTGTTTCTGTACTTACATTTTCTGTTGTGTGTACGGGCCGATGTAGCCAGCGCGTTTAGGGGAAAGCAATATGGCCGACGCGCAGGAAGCGATGCAGTCTGGGAACTGGAGGCGCTGTGGACTCCACTGATGCATCCAGATCTATGATCCAGATTATGATCCAGACACGTGTCCAGTAGCCTCGCCCGCGCTGTTCGTCAATGGACGTCCGCACGCGGCGGCCATATTACTTCGGACAACTGCCCCACTCTAACCCACCTCGAACTCTAACTTTCTCAATTTTCAACCGTTCTTGAGTTGTTTTGTTTTTTGGACTGGGTGTTTTTACTTTAACTTTCTCAAATTTCAATCGCTTTTCATCCGGTTTGATTTTTTAGAAACATTAGAGACATGGCTATGAAATCTATCAGTTTTGGCAGGAAACTCCCCTTATTTCACTCCACTTTCCAGCCGTTTTCCCCTATTCTGTCAATTTCCCATAGACTTACCATTTTAATGTCAATGTGACAGTGTGAGCGTCCTGTCATAGTGTCCCGATTGATCATGCGCCCTGGCTACTTGGCCAAGGGGATGTCCCTTTGGCTGACTGGTAAGCACGCATGACTCTAACCCGGGAGTCTGGGGATTGAATCCCACCCGGGCCCTCGTTCCTCCCATAGACTGTACAGGTTCCTCCACCTTGCTAAATCAACAAGATCTGCTTCTGATGAACTAGCTGTAGTTTGTAAACTGAGGTCAACTTATAAATATAAGTATCAAGATACCTTATAACTTACTATATCAACTTATAAATAAAACTCAAATACCTGATTTAATTTACAGAAAAAAGTAAAAAAAAAATCAATAAATAAAATTTTTAATTAAAAACACCCAGTCCAAAAAACAAAAAAGCAAAACAACGCAATGACTGAGAATATATCTTATAAAAAGACAAATACAGAATATATTTATTTGCTTTGACTTTAATGTTTGCAAGTATTATGAACCTAATATATACTTGCTTTGGCAAGTTATTATAATAATTTATATTTATTTCCACTTTCAGACTGCAACCCATTTAGAATGAACGTTTGAGAAGAGAAAACTGGGAAAATTGTGAGTTAAAGGGCTAAATAAACACTTCAAAAATTAAAAAGTAAATGAATGACAGACTGACAGTTATGAAAAACTTGTTTATTACAGATTAAACATGTTTTTGATTATAAAAATAACAGATCTACAGACAGATGCTAAAGCACATTATGGTTTCCTACTGACCTTTGAAAGGGGAAGCTTTTGTGAGCTTCTGTCTCACGCTGTCACACTGAAAGCTAAGAGTTGCTAATCTTGCAATGTGGTGCATCCTCAGCTTAAAGAACAGGCTGGAGACAATAGATGTCAACAGTGTACGAGAGTGAGACTCAATTCCGTACTGTGTCTCACTGATGTGCTCCCCAAGCAAAAAGACATCTTCTGACCCGATCATCTTGCGCACAATGTAGATGACCTCCAGTGGTTTGATGGGCTGTGATCGTCTGCCCACTGAAACCTGGCGAATTGCCCACTCTGCTGCTCTGATGACCCTCACAGTACCTTCAGATGGGACCACAAGACCCCCGTTGTTCTTCAGAGTCAGCAAATGGTAGCTCTGGTCATCACAGGCAGATGCAGCATCCATCACCAGGCTGGCACGGCAGACATCACAGGACAGCTTGGTCATGGCTCGCCGCACAACAAATCCTGAAATTACAATTACCAATGTAACTGGACAGTGTGGTCGCCTTTACACTTTACATAGGCCTATAGAACAACATGATGTCAGGTGAGAAATCAGACGAGAACTGTAGTTTGACTACCTAAAGGCAAACAAGTAATCATGATTAGTAAGTGTGGAATTTATTCATTATATTTATTTATCAGGGGGATTTGATAAGCCAGCATTTTTCAAAAGACTACAAACATCTTTTGTGTTTTTCTTCTTTTTTAGGTTCTTTTTGAAACACAGGGAAGGTTTTTTTTACCTCGCTGACAGTTTTGATCGTGTCTGCGATCTTCCTCAGAGCTGACGCCACTGAGCTCTGCATCCATAGGCAGCACAAAAGTCAGGCATGCTTGTTGTGTTTCACATGTAATTCTGTAAAAACTAAGCCAGCTATTTCCGTTATTTTAATAAACTTCAATGTAAGTTTTTAACATTTTTTTAACAAAGTAAGCCGCCTGGAAAACAAGGGCAATTTTACCCTCAGCTTCCGCTTCCACTGAGGTAAAACATTGTAGCTAAGCGGCGCAGCCACGGCAGCCTCGTCTTCTCTAAGCCAAGTTAAACAGCTAATAAACACTAAAACATCCACCAAGACAGCCATTTAGACAAACGTACACTTCTTAGTTTCGCTGAACCATACGAACCCTATAAAAATATTGATTGTGGTCTCTCTCTCAACCTAACACGCAAAATAGCTTAGCCGGGACACATTGTTCACAATTATGTCATGTTTCAAAAGTAATGGCGGTAATTTCAACATCTGTAAGTATCCCGCGTCAAGTCTATGTATCATACGGTTTGTAATAAGGCAAACCGTTTGTAAATCCGTTAATACTTCATTGAGTTATAAGTATTTTTAATTGAGCCGTGCACTCTTTTTTTAACAATCTTTATTGACACGTATTACCGTCAGTGTGGGGAAAAAACTCAGGACCAGTATCTCGTAATCACGAGGACTGTTCTCGTTAAAACGTGATATGAATATCGTTTTAGCGACAAAGTTTCTCGTTGTTACGAGATACTTTCTTGTTAAAATTAGAAACTTTCTCGTTAAAACGTGATATAAATCGAAGTTTCTCGTTATTACGAGATTAGAAACTTTCACGTTAAAACTTGATTTATATCACGTTTTGACTCTCCTCATTGCTGAAATACATTCCTCAGACAAGTTACGTTGACTTAAAAAGGCAAAAAGTGGTTCCATTGGAGTCTCCATCTCTTCTCCCTCCGTTTCGTCCTGACGAGACTCAAACATCCCGCGAGATGTCGCCGTTTTCCGTCATCATTCATGTCATTATTACAAGTTATAGAACACGTTATTTCGAAAAATTTTCTCATTAAAACGAGGAAGTTTCTAATTTTAACAAGAAAGTATCTCGTAACAACGAGAAATGTTCTCGTTAAAACGTGATATAAATATGTGAAAGCTGTGAAAGCTGGAGCAAGACGGCAAGGAAAATAGCCATGATCCTGAAAACCCTTAACAAGAATGCGTCCAACTGATTTTCATTCTTCCTCCTGCCACTTCGGTGTAAGTAATGGAACTCTCCTGCCCTTCAGCAAGACAATCCAAAAACTCTGTCCAGAAAGCAGAATAGACATCTCTGGAAATGCCATCAGCATCTGCTCCCTTCTCATCTATGAAAGTAAATTTCAAAGGGTAGGTGAGCAAGTTGGGATCTTTGAACTGTGTGATTAGTTCATCCATAAGCTTTGTCCTATGAAGCTTAATTCTGACATTAACAACTTCAAATCCAGACAGCTCAGTGTTACTGTGTGCTTCGCTAGCTGAAGAACTGGCATTAGGTGCAGCCGGTAGCATAAATGTATGTGTAGGTTGCTCTGTTAGACTGGAAGTAGATGGCAGTGTATTGATTGTTAAAGGCTGACTGTTTGGATTTGCCAGGTTATGGGCAGATGATGGTTGACCAAGAATCACAAAGTTTCCTTCATCATTTGACAGACTGGACAAAACAAATACTGGGCCCATATCAGGAGATGCAGGATTCTCAGTGGGAGTAGATGTAGATGGTGCAGAGTTGTTGGAGAGTGACTGATTTACAGGACTCACAAAGTTCAGGGAAGTTGATGGTAGATTAAAACTCACAGATTCCCCTTCATCATCTGAAAGGGGCAGAGTGTCAGCAAGTCGCCATGCCTGAGGTTCTCCGGTGTAATGTCCTACCATAACCTCAGAGGAGTTAGATGACTCTGAGAAGTTGTTTTTGTAATCTGGTTCATCGTTCTCCACTCTTTCATCCGGCACGTTGATGAGTTCTGTGATTGTCAGTTCTTTCCGTTCCTTTGTGCAAAGATGAAATCTTAAAATTCCCATTTTCAGCAGGGAATAAAGTTCTCCTACTGTCATGTCTTCTTCTAAAATGTCTTCCTCTTGATAATCTAAAATATTACAAGTGAAATCTTCCAGTTTTCCCTTTTTACATTGTCCATTTGGTAAAAACAGCTCCTTTGCAACACTTAAAATATCAGATTTATTTAGCTTCTTTTGGCAAATCCACTCTCCTCGTTCCTCCTCCATTTTTCTTGTGTTGTTGCTTTCCTTCATGTATCCATCCTAACTCAACCTTTCTTGTCTTTCTTGTTATTCCTTAAATAGGCTTTAGAGTGTTTACGAGTTGAATATGATTCTTCTTGGTCCGTGTTACGGCTGGAGCCTTTTTGTGTTGTGTTTTCATTTTCTGTGCATTTTTGTGTTCTCATTAATGCTGCATCTGAGGAGCATGCCTGCAGACTATGGCCTGGTTGCTCACCCTTGCTCCTCCCTCACCAGCTGAGCCGGGTTTTCATCAGCCGCAGATTGCTTAAAGGATCTGCTGGAGCTCCTCACCAATGGGGACAATAGTGCAGAGCTGCCTTTCGTCTGGTCTGTTGTCTCCCACTTAGGGCTTTGATATTGATTAGCGAAAAGAAATAAGCTTTAGGGGTAATCTGTTACCTTTTTGAGATTTGCTATGACTCTCACCCGGGAGTCTGGGGATCGAATCCCGCCCGGGCCCTTGTTTCTCCACCTTGCCACACTTGCAATAGCTGACACGTCAGTCCATAATCACAATAAAATTGTGTAACATGACGGAGGCGCCATTCCACCAAAGGTTATTTACCCTCTCTCCACAGATGCCTCTGACACAGTACTAATCTGCATGAGACTGCCTCAAGGTCATGCATCTGCTTCTAAACTGCTTCCTTTCCAGCTCAAGAGAAGAATGAAGATAAAGGACTCTTTCCTTTTAATAAATCAAAGAACTCTATTTTTATTAAAGCTAATCAAACAAAGTGTTAGTCAATAATATAATGTTGACCAATCTGTGAAATAACAACGTTATTATTAATATGCTTTAATAAGTAATATTACCTTAATCTAGCTGCACTAGACATTCTGACTACGCATAATGTAAACACATGACACATTGCTTTCACTGATCCAATCAGAACCTTCCTTTCTGAAGCGTGGCATAGTCTCTGTGGTGTTCATAAATCTGCCAACTTTGATTGAACCAGAAATCGAAATATCCAGATTAATAAAACCAGTCCCCACGCCATCTTAAGTTCTGTTCTCAACAGTTCTCAGCAGTTTACTGGAGTTCTCTGCAGTTCACCGCATGCTAAGCAAAGTATCGGACCGGCCACCCGGACTTCCTTTTTTTAGAGCAAAGAACCAACAAGCTGGATAAAATCTGTTGCATTTTACCAACCAACAGTCCCATTGATTACATGTAAATTAACTCCTTTACAATTGAAATTATTTCTAAATAAAATAAAACTAAATAGACAGTTTTAACCAAACACATATTTTCTGAACTTTATAGCACAATTTGATACATTATATATTCTCCAAGAGCAAAACTATAAATATATTATTTTACTGTGTGTGTTCCTTCTTGAGCTTTGTCATTTCTGCACACCGGACAGGAGTTACCTTTTCTAAATATGAGAAGCTGAAGACTAAAATGTTACATTTATTCATAAAAACATATATATATTTTTTAGATTTTCATAATTTAGAATGTTCTGAAGTTACTGCTCTGTTGTGCCACACAATAAAATGTGAATAAACGTATGAATAATCGTTATAACAAGCATAGGTTATGAACACATTAGGCTTAGATGAGTAAAATACAAGTAAAATTCAAGTAAATGTCATTTAAAACTGGGTGTTACTATTACCAGTAGACGGTACCACACTGCAGATACATTCAGTAACATAGAACTGTGTTAAATCGATTCTAATTTCAGGTCGGCTAAGCGTCTAAAATGTGTCACCTACTTTGTCTCTCCTCATTGCAGAAATACATTCCTCAGACAAGTTACGTTGACTTAAAAAGGCAAAAAGTGGTTCCATTGGAGTCTCCATCTCTTCTCTCTCCATTTCTTCCTGAGGAGACTCAAACATCCCGCGAGATGTCGCCGTTTTACCATTATTATTCATGTCATTATTACAAGTTATGGAACACGTTATTTCGAAAAATGTTCTCATTAAAACATATTTATATCACGTTAATTTTAACAGGAAAGTTTCTCTTAATAATGAGAAACTTTGTCGTTAATCACGTTTTAACGAGAAAGTTTGTAATTTTAACAAGAAAGTATCTCGAAACATCGAGAAACTTTGTCGTTAAAACGATGTTAATATCACGTTTTAACGAGAACCTTTCTCGTGATTACGAGATACTGGTCCTGGTAATACGCTTCCGTAGAATCCCAAACTAATGAATACAATTGATTACAAAAATGTACAACTAAAGGACAACCATAAAACAAATGAGTAAGAGACTCAACACCTGTTTTGCAAAAGGAACATAAAGGGGACACATCAGGTTTAAATCTATTAATAAATTCATTACACGGATAATATCTATGTAAGATTTTCAAGTGTATTTCTTTAACTTTATTGGGGACAAAACATTCTGAACCTCAGAAAAGGCATTGCTACTGATGTCAGGAAACATTACCCTCCAACGATGTAATGAATTTGGAACCTGACTGTATAGAGAGGTAAAAACTGCTCTAATGTGAGCATTGTTACATGAGAGCTCTTCAAGAAGCTTTCTGCCAAGACACAGTGCAGGAAACCTTCCTGTGTAAGGTGTATACTGAGCAGGAGCTCTGACAAGAGACAATAAATGAACAAGAATACTTTGGAGAATTCTAGAGTGCATTGTGTAGCGACATGAATGGCCTCATTTTGTGTCCCAAAGGTCACACTTCCCCAGCTAGGTCAGCTGGGTTAAGCTGTAACATTTGTTCCACAGATTATCCTTCACAGGAGCCGAGATGTCTGCTAAACATCATCTTTTATCTGTCTCCTGTTCCGTCCCAAGATGAAGGACACTTCAAGATTTTAAAATAATAATATTAATAAACTGTTTTTACTGTTTATTACAATCATATGCAAATCATCATAAATAATCATCATGGTTCATTATAAATGTTTTTAATTACTGAAATGACTTATTATTTTTTGGGTTAATAATAATTATTATTTATGATAATCAGTAATGTTTGATCAGTAACCAGAAGGTCATTTGCACGTGTACACCTCATGCAGATCTGAATCCAGAGTAAAGTTAACTTGCTCTCACGTGTCTTTTGCTCCATAACAACAAGCTTTCTGACGCTGAGAGGGCGTGTTCTGAGGTTTTGTTAAAACCAAAATCTCCGCTGCTCAAGTCCAGCTCTTGAACCAAGCAGATACTCTCCGTGGTGACGAGGGGTATCCCAGAGGATGAGGGTCGGCCGCCTGAAGCCTCACTAAGCTGTTCTGTCACGCCGATAGAATCTCTCCGAATAAATGCACCTGTAACCAGCTGACGTAAAACTCCTTCATTTTTGATTTCGAGACGCAAATAGTTTCATCAGTCGTTGTGACCCGGAGACATCTCAGGACCGATTTGAGTCGCACCGAGCAGGGGCGCAGATAGGATTTTCAAACTGGGGGGGCAAAGTTCCAATGTACCCTCCCCCAAACACACACACACACACACACACACACACACACACACACACACACACACACACACACACACACACACAATCATCAACATTCACCTCTTGCACAACATGTACCTTTGTTGATGTGTTTTCAAAGGTAACAAATGGTAGTAGACAGGATATGATTTAAATGCAAATAATCCCCTTCGAGCTGACGCCCATTACGCATCCTCATTCAAGAATCTAGTAGCTCCTCTTTAAACATTTTTGGTACATTCAGAACTTGTTTTTGCCAAATGCAAACACGTTTTTTTTAGTAAACAAAGTTTAGAGAAGTTTTTTCATAAAATATAAAGTCCCATTTTTTTAATTAGAAAGACATTTTAGTTATAAACATGATTCAAGTACTGCAACTACTAATTGTTTATTTATTTATTGTCAAAACTCTAATAATAATAAAAAACAAAGCATTAAAAGACCAAATTAAATTATATGTTTGTGTGTTATTTTTCATGTGTGTTGAGGAAAACATTTTTAATTTGAATTAAATCCAGATTAGAATCACAATATGGACAAAACCGAGCCTCAAGACTCAATAAGTACAACTCGTTTTTTATAATTTTTTATTCTTTTTTCCTGGGAGTCGCATTCTGTGTATTACGGTAGTCATCGGGCTCCGCCCCTGTTCCAGCAGCTGTTCATCCAAGGTCGGACGGTGACTCTGCGGGCTGTCCTTCTGTCGCTGTGACGAACTACCGACACAACGAGCAGGTAAAAGCAAAAACAACAAACCTCTGAACATTCCTGCAGCTGTTTGTAGTAATAACACGTTGTAACCACCGCGCTGCACTGCCTGCATGGTGGCTAAGCTAGCTGTCTGTCCGAGGGAAGCCAAGCTAGGCTGACCTCTTCCTCAACTTCAGCTCGGCTTTGATGTTGCGTTTGATGGGGAAACCGGGTGTCACCGGTTCCCAGTCAGCATCTCCGAGCCTTTTAACCCCCTGCCCGAGATGGAAGTTTTAAACGTGACTCTTATTAATGCAGAAGGTGCAGAATGACCCCTAAAATAAAACTGTCTTTTTAACCAGAGGGTTTAAAGACGCATGCCTCTGGTTTTTCTGCACAACCCGTTGAGTTAGGGCCCCGCCCACCTGAGAGCAGTCCTGTGTAAGCAACGAAACTACATTTAAATGTCTTTACCGAAATGTAATGTGACTTGTATTCCTAAACTGTTAGTATAATGCTGCTTTAGATATGCACGTGAGCAACATTAAACTGGTCTTGTTTTAAAAGCAGCCCAATGGGGCATTGGTCATTCTCGGTATTAATGCGGTTTTCCAACAACCTAAACAGAGGTGGTGTCTTTATAAATAGATAACTACAGAATTCCTGACCTTTTCCCGGGGTTCAGTGACTTGGGATGCATTCACCCTCTCTGATTACTCAGAACTGGACCTCTGACAGCCTGGAAGTCTAGACTGGTGTGTGGATGCTGCTGTTCTCAAGCCTTTTGCTGCTGAATCCTAATCTGATGTTTTTACACCTAAATCCTCTAAAATAGATTTAGTGTTAAACTGTTGACTAAGAAACAGCAAACATATATCTTTCTTTTACATTTTAGCTTCACTTTTCATTAGTTTCCTCACTACAATTAGTTTGTGACATTCCACACATGGCACATGCCTCTGCAATCATGAATGGACATGGGGGGTCTGTGGAGTAGCATGTTTAAGAGAAAAGGGACCACACTCAGCCTTCCTGGAAAAGTCGATTCCCAGGTGCTGGAGAGGAGGGTCCGGTCTGTTCCTCTGTGATCTTACAGGTATAGTGGAGAGGATCCCTGCCTGTCACACGGGAGACCGGGGTTTGATTCCCCAATGGGGAGCCACTCTAGCCCCTAATTGTTACAACAATGACGTAACAATAAAAAAAAAATATATATATATATATATATATATATATATATAGGAGCCATATTATCAAAGAAGCTGCGTCCAATACTTATGGCCACTGAGGTGTTTTGCCTGGAGTTACCTGGTTGACGCGCTTGCTGATGTCCATTTTATCCTGGTGATAGTTTGGTTTGAATTAACTGTCTGAACGCCAATGCTCTGATGTTCTTTGACGTTTTTTAATTAAGATTATTGCGTTCACATACATCTGCCACTGCGGTCAAAAACCATAAGCTCTTCCGGGTTAGCACCTGTCATCAACAGTGACGCACTTCCTTATACCAACACAATAAACAGCGACCCCACATGAGCCAAACAAAAACTACACCCATATAAAGAAACAATAAATACATGATTGGCTCCTAGTAATACAGTTTAAAAAAGAACAACACACACTCAAAAAAAGATTATAACTCATAATTCATAATACATACAATAAGTACCATACGGTACGATATGATACATCATCAAGATCAAAGTCGTAGGTGAACTTTTCACCACACAGGTCGGTGTTTATCTGTAAACAAACCCTGTAGCCGGTGTTTGTGAACGTCCTTTATTGATCCGTGTTTGCAGCTGGAGTTACCCATGACCAGGATCCATAAGTTCATGATAGACACAAGCTGACATTGTTTATGAGAGGTGTTTTAGAAGTGTTTAGCGTGAGCACAATGACACAATCGAGTGTTTAGGCATGAAGTCTTTGTCAGTAGCTGTTATAACAGCAGCAGGTATGATGACCAGTGACTAATTCCAGAGGTGTGACCAAGTCACTGCTTTGCAAGTCACAAGTCTTTCCAGTTGTGGTGGCCATTTCAGTAAAGTAACATAAATCTGTTAGTTATAAATTTCTTTTAGAATCTCTTCTTTTATCATTCCCTTTATAATAAGTTAAGTTTGCAATTTAAGTTTGTTAATTTTTGTTTTTTGGCAAATTGATGTAGTTGTGAATTTTTTGGACACGCCTTAGTCATTAAGCTTATTAGTAGCACATGGGGAGGCGTGTGAGAATGTTTGTTGGCCAAGTGTCCGGGAAAATGGGAGGATTGGTTAAATGATTTTTGACCATTTTTTAGACCTGATAATTTAATTTAAGGTTAATTTTTGTTTGATCAAAAGTAGAACATTTTGAATGAATTTTGAACTATTTTTGGAAGAATAAACCATTTATAAAATTAGCAAGAAATCAAGTCTAAAATGCGTGCTTAAAGGAAATCACCTGTTCTCACCAACGGCCTTCAGTTGGAAGTCGTATTTTTTGGAAGTGTAAAGGCCGTGACACCAGTCAAGTCTCGAGCCAAGTCAAAGACAACCAAGTCCAAGTCAAGTCCAAAGTCCTTAACTTTGAATTTTCAAGTCATAATCAAGTCACCTGTCCAACTTCTATTTAATGACGATGATAATAAATAAATTCCAGAAATAAAGCTTCTTAAAGCTTAATTTATTTGCTCAAACAAGCAGAGAGGGCAACTGAAATGGATTATAAACCAAGTGCTGCTGCATTTAGCAGTACATCAAACCCAGAACCAAGAATGATTCATGATTTTTGTCCATGTCGTGCCACTTTTGTGCTAAAATATCAAATATGGTCAAGTCATCATCAAGTCAACAGATGCAAGTCGATTCAAGTCGCAAGTCATTGGCATTCAAGGCCGAGTCAAGTCGTAAGTCTTTATAGATTTTATCAAATCAAGTCAGAAGTCATTAAAATAATGACTCGAGTCTGACTCAAGTCCAAGTCACGTGACTCGAGTCCACACATCTGACTACAGGGTCTTGCTCATGTCTGGGATGAAAATGTAGAATACTACAAAGGATTTGAAAGGAAAATGTGCTTGCATCGAGTCCACGTTCACATGGGAAGATATTATATCACATAATTACACATGCAAGTACTACAGCAAGCCGATGGTGTATTTATTGGTTTTAGAAAGTCTTTCCCCCACGCTGTGACTCACCTCACTGAGAGGCAAGTAGCGTGAGTTTCACATTTTGTTTTTTTTTAGTTGCAGCAAAAGAAGCTGTTACTCAGTTCTGTTTCACTTTTTTATTTTGCATCAAGTTCAGACCAGATTAACTCAGACAAACGCTCTTTGTTTCCGTTTGTTTAGTTTTTGTAATTTTTTACAACCTAAGAAATAGAGAAACCTCTCTAGGCTTCTAAACCCAATCTAATATTTTTTGAGGATTTTTAAAACCAAATCATTGTAATAATTTAATGCATTGTTTCAACTCTGCTGTGTAGCAAAGCTGTATTTTCTAGAAACACTGCAGCCTAAAGCATGGTCTGTATGGGGATAGAAGTCAGTGTCTTCCTGTTTATCGGTCAGTGAAGTGTTAAATCAACTGCTCCATGTTGTACAACAGTTTGCGCAAAGTGTGTCTCAATCAATTCATTGCTTAAACCCTCCATGTTTACCCGAGCCCTTATCTCAGTGCTAACTATGTATGTACTGCAGCTTTTATGCACACAGACAAGAGACATACTGGGCAAAAACGCTGAACTCTGGATGCCTTTTCTTTGGAGATTTAGCGATTCTGTCATACCATACCTCAATTCACCTCACTTTAAATTGATTGATTTGGTCCAACAGGAGACTTCATATAGAAAATGATGAAACTAAAATGTCTAAATCAATTACAATATTAAACTAATCAAAACATATTTTAAAGGGACATTATGGAAGTTTGACAGCCAAAACATGTATAGAAATATTAAATGTCTTCTTCATACATTCTCCTGCAATGCCCTGGTCCTGTAGAATGAGCCCTGGCATTTTTACTGTGATTGCCTGTTTTTCTGTAAAATCACAGAAAAAGAGAGATGCTCGGGTCGAGCAGGCTGCTTCATGCGCGTTCACGCTCAGGCATCGCCCGTAGCATTTGCTATCCGTAGCTTTAGCAGCAGAGAGAGAGGCAGTGCCACTTTGTCGCTGTTCCTAACGCCTAGTGACAAAGCTAGCTACGTTTCTGAGGACCCTTAGCTACTTTCTGTAGAACTTTCTTCTAGATATTTCCTGTAAATTAGCAACAAAATAGCCATTTTCACTTCGAACCGTTCTTTGGTTTGACGTTGTTTCAGCTGTCATCAAGGATATAAAAGTTACAGAATGCTACTAGAGTTAGCTCACCTTGTAAGATGTCTGACTCTCATGCAGCAGACCTGGGTTTGATTCTGGATGTGAACATAGTTTATTTAGAGTTTCTTTTTTACATTAATGGTATATTTTTTTACAGTAAGATGCCCACATTTTTATTTGAGACTCGCCGAACGGCGTTGAATTCACAGATAAAAAGATGTGGGTTCAACTTTCATTTTGGAACAATTTTTCAAGCAAGGGAAGGGAATGATCTGAGCATGCAGGAGGACTGACCCATCATAAACCTTTGTCGGCTGTGCTGAAGAGAAAGGTACAGAACCAAATTATTTAATTAATTAGCTGCGCGTTCTCCTGTCCTCTGGGCCACACACACACACACACACACACACACACACACACACACACACACACACACACACACACACACACACACACACACACACACACACACACACACACACACACACACACACACACACACACACACACAGAGGACTGTCTCAGCTGCTATTTTCGTTAAGGAGTGTGCACGTACAGCATGCGCGCCTCGTGCACGAGTCTACTATTGAAGCTGCCGTTACGCTTTTGGCCTGAGGGGGCAATCACGAGCATAAAAATTCAAAACTCCGTAAAGTCCCTTTAAATGAAAAATCAATAGTTCTCTTATATCAAATATTAGCACTTCCACACATGATGTACTGTTCAGAGGTTTGGGGAA